ACGTTTTTTCCTTTTATTATAACCTATTATCCCTTGTCTCTTTTTGCCAAAAAACAACAGTCGGCTAGGAATGGCGGCAAATCCGTCTTATTATCTGCGAATAAAGCCACCCAAGGGGACCGTTTCCCAGAAATGCGAAAGTCGACACTGAATTACGAAACTGGTCTACAGTCGGCTTGCTTTATACCAATGCTTATGATCATGAACATATGCACTCTCGGAAGGCTGTATGCGTGTATGTTGAACTTCTTTCGTACCGTACGTAGCCAACCGTGCTAATCGGAGGTGCGTTGGGAAGGACAACAACACTGAACAAAAAGAGCAGTTATAAACAAATTAGTTTTAATCTGGATTTAAAAGTGCATATAGCTCCGGCGGCTTCCTCCAGTGGCTGTGCAGTCGATGGATTTGTAATGGTTCGACAGAGGCGCACACACTCGTGTGGAGGCAACACTATTTATTTAACACAAGTGCAACACAACTGCAACACACCCTACAGATGAGGTGGTGACCACCGCCCTACTCTCGCTAACACTCGGGTACTACTTGGCGTGGCCAGGCCAGGAGGGCTTCTGCTTGGCCACGATGACTGGAGGCTTGTCTCTTCAGTCTTCATATGACGACTTCATCCCAGGCGCCAACAGCCCAGCTCTGCGCGCTGAGCCCGCTTATCAGCCTCTCCGGCGTGGCAGGCCAACACCCTGACCACGCCCCCCTTCTCGAACCCTCGAGAAGGCTCCACTCCCTGACCACGTGACCCCCAGGGTCTCCCAGGGCCCCCGGCCCCCTCTTGTATCCGGTCACGTGTCCAGCCGGGGTCACTCGGAGTGCCATGGCCTGACACAACCCCCGTGGCAGCCATCAACAGCCTCCAGACCGAACCGGCAGTGACGTCACGCATGCAGACCTAACATGGCAGTGACGTCATCTGTATACAGACCCGCCATGATAGTGACGTCATGTGTATACAGACCCGCCATAGTAGTGACGTCATATGTCACATCATCCCCCCCACATGTAACATACAGCCGTCCCGGCTGTGACCATACAAATAACAAAACGTGTGCCTCACAACAAAACAGAACGTCAATAAATAACCGGTGAATGACAATAAATTACACGAATAACATATGTACACATTAGAGAGAGAGAAAAGGAAAAAAAAGCACAACAATCATGCATGAAGCAGTCAGCTCACAGGACCCCCTCCATCCACGGCGCACCCCTGTAAAATCATGCACACACCGAACAATAAACAACCGGAGTGACAACATACAAGCGTGAAAGTGTCATTTAAAGCGCGCGGTTTTCGAACGGGTCCGTATGGCTGGACCCCCAGGCAAGGTGGGCCGAAGCTCCCTGGAAGGTCCGGGGAAATTGTCAGCGCTGGCGGTCGAGTGTGGCCGCTCCAACACGGGCGGAAGCGTCGACGGGGGGCGGTCGGTCGCAAGCTGCTCCACACACCGCGGGGTGTCCATAGGAGCAGCAGCCGGTAGCGCCGGGTTCTTCACGAGCTCCGATCCTGCGGGCGGTACCACAGAACCACCCTGAGGAACCACATCTACGGGTGCGCCCCCCAGCTCGTCCGGCACACCCGACACTCGGCCCGCGGCATTTGGAGATGAGGGGACGTGACGGGGATGAATGAACGGATTAAGTCACGACGGATGAACAAACCAATCCCGGCGGCCGAACCGGATCTTAACACACTGAGGCCGGTCGGCCAGTTCTACTTCGACCGGCTCCCGCCAAGGCTTATACAGCTTGGGGGGGTGTACTGACAGGCACTTGCGGACAGTGCAGCCAAGCCTCGTCTCCCGGAGCCCACTGTTTGCCCGATTCACGACGACATAGCCGCCTCCATCTACGGAAACGTCGCCTGCGCCAAGGACAGCAGGGCACTTCGGAAGGCAATGGGCGTCTCGGTTTCCCCTTGCCGTCGTTCACCAAATCTGCTGCGTATGCAGGATGGCGGGTTGCAAACAGCAGCCATTGCCTTGAGCGCTTGCGATAGCGTGGCACGCTGCGCGGGCGGGATAGCGTAGAATGCCGCCAAGGCATCGTCGTCAAGAGAGGTGGGGAGCGCCTTCAAGCTTCTTCCTCCGTCCACCCCGCCAATGTGCAGCTTGCGGTGAAAAGACGTTTGAACGCCTCCCAATCCCCGCCGGCAGCTGTGAATTCGCAGACAAATGGGAGCTGACGGTGCAGCGCTGGAACGTCCCGCGGCGTGCCCGGCGGGTGGGAGAAAATGGCGGCCTCCCCGCCGCGCGTTCCCACCAAAACGGATGCCGCTCGGTCGGGCAGCGCGGCGGGAGAGTCGCGCGCTTGGACGGCGGCAGCAACGGATGTCGATGCCACGTGGCTCCGGGGCGATCTTCTCCGTCGACAGCTCTCCGGCGTCGAGTTTGGCGACCAACTCAGCAAGGCGGGCACTGGCGGTCTGACAAGCGTCGGGCGGCGATGAATCTGCCGCCTGAGCCGCACAGCGTTATTCCGCTGGCCGCGAAGCCTCGGCAGAACCCTCCGGGGTTGCCATCCCCCGGGGCAGTTGGAGGGGTGAAGTCTCCGTCGTCCTCTTCTCCCGAGGAACTTTTGGCAGGTTGCCTACGATGTGTGAGCATTCCGCCTCGCTCTAGGTAAGTCTAACCTAAAATTTGCCACTTCTATCACCAAATGTAATGGTTCGACAGAGGCGCACACACTCGTGTGGAGGCAACACTATTTATTTAACACAACTGCAGCACAACTGCAACACACCCTACACATGAGGTGGTGACCACCGCCCTACTCTCGCTAACACTCGGGTACTACTTGGCGTGGCCAAGCCAGGAGGGCTTCTGCTTGGCCACGATGACTGGAGGCTTGTCTCTTCAGAGTCTTCATATGACAGCTTCATCCCAGGCGCCAAAAGCCCAGCTCTGCGCGCTGAGCCTGCTTATCAGCCTCTCCGGCGTGGCAGGCCAACACCCTGACCACGCCCCCCTTCTCGAACCCTCGAGAAGGCTCCACTCCCTGACCACGTGACCCCCAGGGTCCCCCAGGGCCCCCTCTTCTATCCGGTCACGTGTCCAGCCGGGGTCACTCGGAGTGCCATGGCCTGACACAACCCCCGTGGCAGCCATCAACAGCCTCCATACCGAACAGGCAGTGACGTCACGCATGCAGACCTAACATGGCAGTGACGTCATGTGTATAAAGACCTGACATAGTAGTGACGTCATGTGTATACAGACCCGACATAGTAGTGACGTCATATGTCACTACAGATTAATTTAGCGCTTCTGGGAGGATTATTCTCGGATAATAAGATTAATTTCCCTCCTCTCTCTGGGGACTCGTCCTATGTGCAAAAATATGTAGATAATAGGAAAATGCATGTGTGTGTGGTGTGTGCAAGTATATACGTTGTACATATAAGGGGCCGTCCATAAATGACGTCACGCAATTTTGGACGATTTTTGACCCCCCCCCCCTCCGTTACACGGCGTCACAAAAAGTCAGACCCCCCCCCTCAAATATGACGTCACAAAGCTCTGCCCCCCCCCCCCCAAAAAAAAAACATGCTTCAAAACGCTTTAAACTATCGTCATTGTAGTGCGTATTTAATGTGGTGCTCACAAATGTGCGACCCCCCCCCCAAGGTGCGTGACGTCATTTATGGACGGCCCCTAAACATATAAACTCTGGGCCGCTTTCGACAGTGTTCCATCACACTTGTTAAAACCCATGATGGTGAACTGTCCAATGGTGAAAGACATGGCTTCAAGTTCGATGACAAACTATATCACGCGTAACGCACTCCTTGTATACAACTAATACATACAGCTAATAGGCAGACATAGCCACCTCCTTCCCATGCAGTATTTGTCTCTCCGCATAAACAAAACGAAACATTATTTTGCACATCCCATCAGCCGCGCAGCCTACTTGGGCATTTGTTCACGTGAGCGCGGCCTCTGCTGATGAGACAGCCGAGTGTCGAAACCCGCGTGGTGTCGTGCTGCGAGGGACACAGAAGCCGCGCAGGTCAACGTGCCACCGCCGCCGCTGGATCCACCAGCTCGCACAAAGCCTCCCCGTTATCCATCTGGGCCCTCCATCCCTTACAGACCCTGGCCTCTTCACACAGCCCAAGCCACGTGGAACAACGGAGACACCCACTGGCAGCGGCGGCTCGCTGCGCCACTCGCACTCGAAACGGGCGTGCGCGCAATTGTGCGAGCGCCGCACGCGAACGCTGGGGGATTTCTCAGTTTATTTTGTTTAACAAGGTGACGACTGCAGAGACCGGCAGAATGGCATTGACAAGAGTGACCTGGGGCATTAGTCGGCCAGTCGCTGGCGATGATGTGTCGCATTTCGACAAAGTTTATGGAGGGGGGGGGGGGCATTGATAGTGAAACGCGTTTCTGTTCCTATTCTCTGCGTTTCAGGAGCTAAGTTAATGAAACGGCTTGTAAATGTGCTATTTATGTTTGAGTACATTTTTTTTAACAGCACAGGGCACACTTTGGGGGGGGGGGGCGGGGTTTGGACCTCTGCTCGTGCACAAAAATCAGAAAACTTGCAAAAATTGAAATATTTGGCCGTGAGTAAATTTTAGTTTTTATTCAATTTGAAGCTATTAATGCTAGCCATCATGAATTAGATGTAACGTTTAACACGCACTGTAGGTGTGTACATAGGACTTCTTTCGCACCGTGCGTAGCCAACTTTGCTAATCGGAGTTGCGGGGAAGGACAACAAACTGCGGTGTAATTTAAAAAGTTTTTGTTGTCGTTGAACACAAATTGTATGCCAGACGCCGGCGCACAATGGCCTCCTCTTGCGAATGAGGTCAGGGCATCTTGAACATCCACTGTGAAGCGGACTGCGCGCGACTTCGTGATGACTAATACATAGCCGCAGCATTAACCAGGGCGGCCACTGGATTTGAACTGTGAACCTCTGTAACAAAGCGGCGAACGCGTGACTGTGAAGTCATGATCACGGAACCAAGGTTTCGGATTTAAGCATTTTGGCTTTTTTATTGTTGCGTCTCATTCAGATAATTCAAATTGTTTTCGTCATATTTGTCTGCCTGCTAACAAAAGTGACGTCACCCGACGCAATGCGACACAATAAACGTTGGCAGGAAAGGAGTGGAGGTGACATTATTTTAGTGACATAATTTCCCTTTTCGGAATAATCCGAAACAAGTGTATATGTATATTTACGATCGTCTGAAATTGCATGTCTCGACCTAATTTGTAGATTATTCAGATCAATTCAAATGATCAGGAGCACATCCAGAACGAGTGCCATTCCATATTCTTCAGATCATAAGACGCTCCTAAAAATAACACACACCCAGAATATTGCTTTCAAATACGGGGGGGGGGGGGGGGGGGGGGTGCCATATTATACTACGATAATATAACAAACACACACACATAGAATTCGTTCACAATTGAGGGACGTTCTGGAAAATTTAGATATTGTTGAATGTCTCGGCAGTTTGACTGCATACATCTCTTAAGCAGTGCCGAAATGTCCATGCAGTGAAACCAGGCTGTGCTAAATGACCCCGAAGCCACACGCCCACCACCAAGACCAATGTTTTAATTGCACTGCATGCGGTGAAGTATGGTCAACCAAGCCCCTTTTCAGTTTGTGGAGACCTTAATCCAGCAGTGGATTGACAAATCGGCTGCAATTATATTGTTATACAGTACTAGAAATGCATATTGCACACTGATATAAAAAAGTGTTGCAGACGGAGGTTCTGCCGAGTTGAGAAGTGGAAAGAGAGCTCAGGATCGGTGGGGTCGTGACATGGCCGAGCGGCAGCATGTTTGCCGCCTGCCGCAAAGGATTGTGGTTCACACCACCGGGAGCCCTGGTTAATACTGTGGGTGACAACCATACAATGGGCATCGTCTACTTCAAGGTGGGCGTTAAAGAACCTGTAACGTGATCCCAATGAGCAGGCCATGCGTGTCAGGTGCCATGGTCCAAATTTGCAAAATCACCTCGTTAACATTTTTAAATCGGAATAGCCAACGGCACAATGCCCTCACTTGCCACCCGGTTTTGCGCTCATTTTGCGCCACAGGGGACAAGCTGCCGTTACGCTGTCGGCGCGATATTAACGCCAGTTCTTAGTATTGTCACGAGCAGAGAGCATGTCGCTCTGAAACTAGGAAGCGATAGCTGCGATTTTCTTATTATTACAATCTCGTAGCAGGAGAACCAATTCATATTTTATTGACAAAATAAAATGGCAAGACAATTTATGTTTTTTTTTTTTTACACTCGCAAGGATTTAAAGAACATTCCGGGCAAAAGAATTACATTATTCTTCGTCGCGTCTCCTGGTTAACCTACACGGGGGTCTTTTCCCAACATTCTGCATAGGCCACCGCTTCTGGTGTTGACATTGCCAAATCTTGAGGAGCGCACTGCGGTGTTGCAGGGCATCTCAGAATGACATTAAAAGGAGCGCACGTTGAAAAGTTCGAGCGGCATTTTAAATGACGGTTAAATGACGGAAAGAAGTTCTACATACGAACTGTCAGTCTTCTGTACTCGTTACACTCGCCACTCCGGTGTCGTTATTGTCTTACGCACTTTTTCCACCGAATAAAGTTAGTTCAATGTGTATTTTTTTTTACACGGTTCCCGCGTAGCCAGTTAGTATCGTTGGTACTGGCCCACAGCAGCCATGAACAGAGTTACCGTTGGGGGTGGAGAGGTCAGCCAGCAGCCAGCCAGGAAACTCGGGGGAGGGGCATAGATTGTCTTTAATACTGTCGTAATAAATGACAACCCTAAGCCACTGCGCTATGCAGTGAAATCACAATTGAAGCATTGTCATTGCATTGCAGTTTATTGATATTTATTTCTAAAAAAAAAGAGAAAGTTTTATGTACGTGGCTTATAGAAGACAAGAGAGCCATCATAATTTTCCCATCTTTACCGAATATTTCTTTCCCCCCCCTCACCCGTGCTGTGCGAATGAGCGGGCTTTCCCTATACACATGCCCATTCCGCAAAAAAAAGCACACTCGCCCTCTCATTGTAAAGACACAGACACAAAACTATAACAAGATAGAGAATCAATCAAGAGTGTTACAGCAATCACATAATACAAGCTTACTAGTCAAGGGGGACTTTACACGGGAAAAAAACACGCGCGCACACACACACACACAAATTATAGAACAAAACCTCTGTAGATGACGTTCATACTTCTTAGCTTAAGTATAAAACTGCACGGGGTTTGTGAATCATATAAAAAAATTCCGAGCCGTTATTGCAGGCTTAGATTTTGTTTTAAACTCCTTGTGTACAAGAAATACAATTAAACAAATGAAGTTAAACCATGGGGGTGCTATATTGACGTAAAAATTTGAATTCTCTACAAAATAGAACAATCCAAAAAAAATAAACACACTTTAAAGTAAGAGAATGTTACAGGCTTTATAATATGAACAAGTGTATCCACCATACACATTAGGCAGGGCGTTTGTCAAAAATACAGGGGGTTTGACATTTGGAGAATAAGGTACAGTTCATTATTAATTATCATCGTTATGATGATCACCATCCAGCCGGGTGGCACAGTGGTTCGAGCAAAAACTCGTAACGGGAAGGTCATCACTTCAAAAACTGGGCAGTGAGCCTTTGTAACTCACCCCATCGTCCCTACGGAGATCATAAGTGTCCCATTTCATGGCAAATTGAACAGTGTACATAATTTCGATGTGCCCTGCCAAGGCAACGTGGCGTTTGCCCATCCCACTGGACCAGTCACCAGCGAAGTTGAGGGCTGCCCTCCCTCACCCCCATTGCTTATCTTGAGTAGGTAGACACCGACTTTGAATATTGTTTTATCACTGTCATTACCATTATGATCTTCTCTTCAACGTCGTTGGCTCAACGTGTGGGGCGCGTCCGTGCGTGCGTGCATGTGGGGGGGGGGGGGGGGGTGGGGGGGTGGGGGGGCTAAATGAGGCCCCTTCGCTTCTTGTAGTCTTCCAGGTTGAGGGAACGGCGAGGGCCCCCGTCTTTTACGGGAGGTGGCTTGGAAACGCCGCTGTTCGACTTGGACTCTGCACAGTGAGGGGAAGATGGGAGAGGCCGTCAGTGACTGCACGGGGGGAAAAGGGAGACGGAGCTTCAAGAAAGGAGCATGCTGCAGGAAATAAAAACTTGTTGTTAGATTAGGTGGGGGTGGGTTTCATAATTTCTAGACAATTTCATCCCGATTGTGCTTTCAGTGTCTGCATTTATGTTGGACTTCTTTCGCACCGTACGTAGCCAACCGTGCTAATCGGAGGTGCGGTCACGTCATGAGACGGAGAATCCACTTGGAAATCTCGCAAAGCGTTGCGACCCTTCGTGCGGAAGCAGATATCACAGAGCTAACTCTGAGATTTTCTAAGAACGACCTCTGGGCAATTATTCACCATCCGTACCGCACACGTAAGTAATGTTAGTTTATTGACAGTCAAAATTATATTTTAGTTATCAGAGGTGAAATTTAGCCCAATTAAATGCAGAACCAAAATTAAATTTTATGGGTTTTTTTGTTGGGTGACTGAACTAAGACCATCAACTCACTACACTTCAGAAGCCAGTTTAATCACAGGTAGATGCTTGGATTGGAACCCAAGATCTATTTTTAACTGACAATTTTTTTGTCAATAGACAGTAGAAAGGTTATGCCATGAGATGAAAGCCATTTTTTGTTTATAATTTTTACGGGCGAGTGGCATGGCATCAACCTGCAAGGACACGGCCTCCAAAAAGGTGTGCTGTTTATTACACGCTTTTTATTAATTCACTCTGTCTGTTGTTGTATCCCCAAATCTTGCAACTTAAATTTTACCCACTTCCCAATGTGGTATCGACTGCAAACTTAGTATACTTATGTCATACTTATGACAATACTATATTATATATAAAAAAATATACTTTAAAACATTATTTTTTATATGTTATGTTTCGGCTTGGGTATAACTGTCTACGGTAAACTGATGTTGGCTGTAAATAACCATGGTCCCTTACGTTATGGCAAGCTTCGGGGCCACTTCCTGGAGTTATTTTATTACTGGTATGGTACATCTCATTAAAGCGTGTTTTTTAAAAAGCTTTTTTAAAATACTACTTATTTCCAGATTCTCTTGCATCTCTACAGCTACACTGGGCTGCTTCATGTGGAAAATGTAGGTGCATTGGTAAAAATGAGAACTGTGTGCATAACAGGGCATCCGACAAGAGAACTGGGCGGGGATGTCTCTTCAATGCTTCAAGACGGCATTTGTTTGCAAAGAAATGCGAAGCTCAAGTGTGATGAGAAAAAGAAACGAAAGAAAATAAAACCTCCCGCCGAATAAATTAGACCGACTCCAGCCTCCAACAACGGAATCCGTATGCTCGCTGGCAACAAGTTCCCCCGTAGCGTGCCCGATGCCAGGAAACGTGCCGCTTAGAAAAGTAGGTCAAGCAGATGTTGGGAGAGGAAAAAACGCTTCTGCAGCTGTGCAGTCGAGACACACGTGCAACCCCCCCCCCGCACACGACGGCGCGTTCAGTGACATCGCCAAACGAAACTTTGAAAAGGATGCGATGCCAGGGATTGTTGCCCTCCGTTACACCCCCCCCCCCACCACCACCGAAAACTGTGCCATCAGAGTCGAGGGCATGAGGATAAGAGGGGCATCCTTTCTCAAGGAACTTCCCTGAAATACCGCTCAAAGTCGCGTGGGAACTACCGTGAAATGCCACAAAACTAACGACGTGTCTTTTTGGGAGTGTTTCTGCTACCGAGACCACCCCAAAGACCTTCCTCTTCTCTCCGCCTATGACCGACTCTACAAATTAATTAGCGAGACGTTGACTGCCTCTCGCCTGGTACACAGGAGGTCGTAGGTTCAATTCCAACCCTGCTGCCTGTATCTTTGGAGTTTGCATGTTCTTCCCGTGGTTTTGTGGATTTTTCTCCAGGACCTTCGATTTTTCCCTCCACATTTAGAATAAAAATCACGATTTTAGAGCATTTGGCTGCAATCAATTTCCACGTGATGAGCCCACTTCATTGGTTGAGCGATCAATTGTGGCCAGATCGCTTCTGAAAAAGAGCTATATAGCTCAGTGGGCCTTACCTGGTAAAAAAAAAATAGTTTAATCATCGAGTAATTTCGTATTTGTCTTTTCACTGTCAACCAGGCTGGCAAGAAATCCCCAACACGTCGCTCGAAGCGATAGTGGCCGATGCTCAAGACAAACGATTGGGAGTAGCGCCTCCCACTGCGGACATCCGCCGTGGAGAGATGGAGGAATGAAATCAGCATGTGCGCAACTGCTAGGTGCACTGTCAGATCACGAGACCACGAGAGATGCCGACGAGTTTGGGGAAGGGCTTCATCTTGCAATGAATTGATCGTGGCTGATAATGACAATGGGTGCCTGATATTCGAACCAAGCACCCCTAAAACAGTGCTGGCTCAGAGTTCTGACACAGGTCACGAAGTGCCCTTTGAGTCACCTCATGCCAGGGTAGTTCAAACAGTTCCATACAAGGCGGTCGCAGCTGTGGGTGCCGACAAAAACGCCAGACACGCAGCTCGCATAAACATAAAGCAGGGGAGCCACCATGAATCAAATGCATGCAAATGAATCCGATTTGAGGCTTTCATTTTATGTGCTGCCAAACATTTGAAGAAAAATATTTTGTCAAAGCACTGTTCTTTGAAGTTAAGTTTTATTTTTTATTTATTTTACTTTTAACAGGCTAAAGTACCCTCTTCCAAGACGTTTGGCCAGCGTGGAGGCGGCCAAATAACTTCTTGAGGTCTCTGAAGCTCCCTCTACTGCAGTATTTTTACATGCTAATTGTAATGTTTTTGCATCGCGCAGTCGTCCTGCTATATATTGCTCTCATCTCTCCCCAGGTCTCCCTTGCCATAAATTAAAAACTACATCAGAGGTCTCGAATGTTCTTTGTGTAAAGAACGATATGAATGAGTGGACAATGATCGGTCGCACTCATTGCACACAGAGTGCTTGCCACAAATAAACCACAATGCCTTGCTGATCTCGTCATGGAGCATAAAACATCACACGCAAACTCCGGTCATCCTCGCAGTGACTTTTGTCTAGCCGGTCAACAAAGACGGTCCCCCGCATCGCGCGGCGCTTTCAGATGCGCTTCTGCAGCCGTCTGGAACGCTCTTCCTTCCGATACGAGGAAGCCATTGGGAGCTATGCACTTTTAAATCAACCTGGGTTGAAAACTAATTTCTTTAGAACTGATTTTTGTATATAGTCGTCCTTCCTCCGCACTTCCGATAAGCACGGTTGGCTACGTATGGTGCGAAAGAAGTGCAACATACGTACAATAATAAAACAAGGTCCATCGAAAACGGAATTGTTCCGGTGTTATTTCGGGTCTGTTTGCACGATGAAGTATGGCTTTTGTCTGCATGGTGTTTTGAAGATGCAACCTAAGAAAGACAAAACCTGAAGCTTCATTCGCGAGGACCCTAAACTTAACCAATATAGTTCAGTCCAATAGCAGCGGCAGCGCTAGGCACACAAGCAAATCAAGCAAAAGCTCAGGGCTGTGGGCAGCTCAAGGGGCCCCTGATTAACAAATCAATAAATATGAGCTCAAATTCAAGTTCTAATTAACATAACAAGCTAATTATCATAAACAAACCTATCATTCTCTTTCATCTCTCATCTTTTTGTTCGTCTATATTTATCTTACCTGACTCAATTTCTATCTCTCTTCTGTCATCTCAATCAGATGTTGTAAAATTAAAGGTGGGATTCATGCCCGCTACCAGAGCGCCCTCTCGCGGTGAATGACAGCCACGCTTGAGTTCCCCTGGAACGCACCCAAAGATGGATGAAGCTTGCCAATTTCAACGTTCTCCACTAATTTTCAGAGGTGGGGGGGGGGGGTCACTTTCCCCGATAAGACATCACCAATGTGAGCGCCGCACGTCAGGGGGTGCACGAAAAGTCGTCGGGGGCTGCACGGAAGGCCACTAGGGGCCGTCAGTGGTCCACGGACCTTGCAATGAAGAACGCTGTGCTTAAGTGCATCAGGACACGGTGGGAGCGCGGTGGGAGCGCGGTGGGAACATGGTGAGAGCGTGGTGGGAGCGCGGAGCGAGCACGGTGGGAGCGTGGTGGGAATATGATGGTGGGATAGTGGTGGGAGCGTGGTGGGAGCGCGGTCGTGGGACATGGAGGGAGCGTGGTGGGAACGTAGTGGTGGGAGCATGGTGGGTGTAGGTGGCACCTCCCGTCAATTCAACGGAGCGCCTTCACTCCCGCTGGTGGCTGACCTGTCATTGGGACTTGGAGGTCAATCTTGATGTCAAAGTCATGGGCCCTGAAGAGGTCGTCAGATTCATCTCCATGAGCCTTGGTACCCGAGGCATCCTTGCCTCCACCCCCCGACCCAGCCTCCCGTTGTAGGAGTAACTGAAAAAGAAACACAATTAACTTCACGTATCTTAGAGCGTAGTTTTTCCGCCGGGCCAAACCAAATGAAAATGTGGATCCAATTGCTAAAATTTGTTGTGAGAATCGTTCTTTAACTTCCCGGCTATCTGAAACGATAATATTTAGCACCTTAAAACACTTGTTTCAGGGACAAATTAATTTGATTGGCTGTGTAGGATGAAGGAAGGTTTTGAAGGACATTAAATGAGGTCAGATCATTCCTTGGTCTAACCAAAAAAAATATTATGAGCAATTAATATTTTACAAGAGGAGCTCTACGATGAATTTTTGGTTTGCTCCCGGGTGTCGTTCGGCACGATGTCCGACGTTTTGTTCAACGTGCTGGAGGCTTCCTCAATAATTATTGCTCCCAGCACATGGAACGAATTGTGCGAGGAAACCGAAGTACCCAAAGAAAAGCCACGAGTGCGAGGGGGCTAATACTCAATCACCGCACGAATGGAACGGTTGGAAATCAATCCACCTTCTCTCCTGTCATCATACCCTAGCAAGCCGGACTTGGATGCCCACGGCTAAGAAAGCTTCACGAATTTGTGTGCGCCACAGACCCCTGGCCTCCCACAGTGCTGTATCGCAGGCGAGCAGCACAGCCGCCAGCGACATAATATTTCGTTGCAAATGCCAGGCTGTTTTATATATAGGGGAATGGAAGAGACGTTGGAGAGCTAAGCAGAGAGGAGGAGTGTGCAGGAGGGTAGAGAAGGGTAGAGAAGGGTAGAGAAGGGTAGAAAGGGCGACAGCAAGAGGGGAAAAATCTGAATGTTTATTTAAGTCCAGTAGAGGAGGGTCATAAGGTTACAACAAACAAAACAACGACCCGAGTGCAAAGCATAGGAAAGGAAAGCAAAAGACGAGAGGGAAGAGAAATGGGGATCTGGCAAAAACCGCGGAGCGCAGAAAATGGGATCGGGTTACAAGCGATTTAATAACAGGTCCCTGCAGGGTGGGCTGGTAAGAACATTGGAATTTTGCGCAATTTTATGACATTGTTACTTCCAAATGTTGGGTGCAATAAGACATATCAAGTCTCCGCGCTGTCTATTGGTGATTTTACACCCAACAGCACGAGATTTCACTTCGTTAAAGTATTGAAAGGGGACGGACGGACGGACACATTAATCTATTGCAGGCTGGTACACTCAGTTTACAACTTCGTTCCTACCAGTAATAGGGGACCATATTTTAGTGTGCACTGCCACCGGTCCCTGTGGCAAGAGGCCCCGCGCGCACGTCCTGCTAAAGGAGAGAGAGCACGCATCGACTCACCGCTCGCCCAATCTCGATCGGATTGTCTGACTCCAGCTGTCCGTACTTGGCGTTGAGCTGAGCCCGGATCGCGGCCTGCACGGCCGGATCGCGCGCCTGTGGGCAGAGCGTCGTGTCAACAGGGCAGCGCGGTGCACTACGGTGAGCGCGGTATTATTTTTGACAATACCGTTCGACGCAACGTGTGTTTACGTGATGAATGTCGCGGTATATCAGTTTTCTGTATTTTTTTTCCACACATTTATCGTGTTATTTTCCTGCTTTAATGTACTTCATGTGCTAATGTATTGTTCAAAAGTTAAGCAACTGCACTTCACTCAATATGAGCCTACGAACTCCGGTCATCCTAGCAGTGGCTTTTGGCTCGCCATCGAACAAAGATGGTCACTGCATCATGCGCTTTCAGATGCACTTCTGCGGCCGTCTGGAATGGCCTTCCTTCCGATATTATGAAGTCACTGGAGCTATGCAGTCTGCCTCTACATGGTTCCACTCGGTCCAATTTTTCTGCCGATTTGGTATCAACTACTGTGCCGATTAGCATGGTGGTTTATGTACGGTGTGAAAGAAGTTCAACATACTGCATACTGACACCTCCATATATGAAAGTGTTATTGGCCAATTAACGAATGGTTATATGCTGTCATAAAATGATGTTATATAATCACCCAGCCGTTAATTACTCTTTTTTTCAAGCACTAATGTAATGGGTAGTTTCTATGTTGTACACCATCCCACAGGCGTTTGGATCTTCTCGATTGCTTATTCACAAAAATATTTAAGATAACTGAATAATAATCTGAACAAATCTGGATATAAATAATGAGAGAATAGGAAACAAAAATGGAGGGAAAAATCCACTCACTAGACGTGGCCTCCCAGTGATTTAAACTTTTCCAGTGAATGAAACATGCATGGATAATGATACAAGAAGCAAGATTGTGTCTCTCAAGTGGGGATTAAAACTCTAGAAGACCGATGGGGCAAGAGTATTGCATTTAAAGGATGACCGACAGTGCATAACGATAACATAGATTAATTAATTTAATCACTTTAGTCATTTTTCGATTTAAAGCTTTCGTGACTGCAAGGATTCATCTTCTTTGGTTCTTTTGGTAAAGTCACGTAGAATGTGTTATTTAATTTTATCAATTTATTATTTTATTCTCATTCTACGTGACTTTACCGAAAGAACCAAAGAACACTTTAGTCATTGCCTGTTCATACACCTTCGATCACCTCCTGGCTGTATTTTCGGGGTTGCGCTGCACGGCTCTCCGATGTGCTCTCGCGTTGTGCCGTGCGTCATAGGGCACGCCGTCTGACGTTCCGCTCCACGTTCTGGGAGCTTCTCCTACACCCAAGAAGCTCCCGGCGGTGTGGAGCGAAACGTCGGGACATCGTGCCGAAAAACTCACGGCACATCGTCCGAGACTCATCCGGAGAGGGCCGTCCATCGGCCTCTTTTGGTAAAATGAGCGACGAGGCGGCGCTGAGTCAATGAATCATGAGCGGAGGGCTGCTACGCACCACCAAAGCCCCGGGCGTTTGTCCCAACGTCATTTGCTCACTGCCTGGCCCTCTCGCTGTGTTTTTCTCAGCTTGTTGCAGTGCTTACGTTGGACACCATGGTGGGCTTGCACTGCCTCCGAGTGAACGGGTCCATTTTCTGGTTCTTCATGTTTACAACCTCTGCCTGTTGAATTCGACGCATGCCATCATTATTGCGGGGAAGGAAAAAAACACAGTAGCTATGTTGCCGTCTCGACGTGGGCTTACAAAACAGCTCCAAAAGATTTCGCTGCCCGAGTTCATCAGCCCAGATTTTCTTTACGTGTCAAAGGTATCTGCGTACTCGTGCGAGCAATTGTCCTCTCAGAACGAATCTCTATCAATGCCCCCCGCCGAGATGAGACACTTTAATTGCATATCGTACGTTTTGAGACATGTTTTCTTGATGACGTATTTATATTTTAACATTGCGAAGTATTTACACGTTACAGAATACCATTCATATTTTTCAAAATAATTAGGGGGGTTTTTTGTGTGCAGTCATCGGTGACCCAAGGAGAGACAACCAAATCACTGCAGTTGAGGACGCAGTTTAATCACCGGTGGCTACCCAAATTGGAACCCACGACCTCAACAGCACCAACTCAGTGCTCTGACCACTGCACCACCAAGCCACCTCTAAGGCACATTGTGGTAGATGTAGAAGCTCCAGTGGTTGCAGGTGTCACGTGAACAAATTACACACAATGCATAGCAAATTATATAAATTATATTCATCAACGCGTCATTACATGCCTATCGCCATACCTGCATGGCTTTTTCCGACTCCACAATGTTCCACTCTCGATTCCTTTGGTTGATGTAGCTGCAGACAATCATGCATTGGTTACAACATTTTGTTACAACAAATTTCACGTGTGTACCGAAATGTCTTAACATGTGGTATGTGTATAATATGGTGGATAGCTGAGTGAGCGAATGAGTGAGCAAGTGAATGAGAGAATGAGCGAGTGAACGAATGAGTGAGCGAGAAAGAGTGAGCGGGTGAGTGAGCGGTGAGTGAGACAGTGAGAGAGTGAGCGAGTAGACCGAGTGAGCAAGCGGGTGAGCTAGAGAGCGAGCGAGTGACTGAGCAAGTGAGTGAGCGAGTGACTGAGCGGGTGAGTGAACGGGTGAGTGGCAGGTGAGTCGGCGAGTGAGCGAATGACCGAGTGAGTGGGTGCTCGACCGAGCAGGAGTGAGCGAGCGAGTGACTGAGCGAGTGAGCGGACCTGATGGCGGAGATGTTCTTTGTGCGAATGCGATCGAGGGCCTCCGCTCGCTCCTCCAGTTCGTTCATCTTGTCCTGGATCTCGCGAGCGCGGTCCTCATTTCCACCCTCCTCCGCCATCGCCTAAGTCGTCAAAGCGCACCGCACGCCAGTCACCAAATCAAGGACCGCCGTCCACTTTACCGAACCATTTACAGACACAACAGTCCCCCCCAAGATCGTCACACGCCATTCACCAGATCAGTAACGGTCACAACCAAATTATTTGCCCCCTTGCAACATATCATTGACGGTCACCCCATTCAAAATAATCGTGAACCGCCACAACAATCAGAAAAGTGTCAGCTGTCACGCAATTTTCCAAAGTTCTCTGGCCCCATTAACAAAACCGTTTTAACTGTCACGTTACCAAACTGATCACCAAACCGTTAACGGCTGCAACCTCAACAGTTCTCTGTTGCACGCTGAAATGCAGGCATTGTGGAGAAGGTTTATGTGCATCGTGTATAAATCATCGCGCGCAACTTTCCAGGCTACGGAACATTGAATAGCAGGCAGCGAGGAAGTAGGTTCAGATTACTGGCCGATGTGTTGGGGATTAAGATTTAGTCATAAATTTAAAAAAAAATCTAATTGGGAATTGGCCAGACATCTCAAACGATGACCTCCCCCCCCCCCCTGAAATAAAGTATTGAGACTCGAGGAAGTGTCATTTGGTAAACAAATAGGTATCAGAAAGCTTCAAAATCAAGATTAGAAAACAGTGTACAGTAAAACCTTGGATTGCGAGCATAATTCGTTCCGGAAACGTGTTTGTAATCCAAAGCACTCGTATATCAAAGCACTCGTTTTATATCAGTTGTGATCACGTGACGCTCGGCAGACAAAGCGTATACGTACTGCTACTCGTATTACAAGACCTGGCTCGTTAATCAAATAAATATTTATTTAATTTTTTTGCTCGGCTTGCAAAACACTCGCAAACCAAGTTGCTCGCAATCCAAGGTTTTACTGCATATTGTAAACTATATATATTAAATTCAAGAAAAGTATGAACCCTTATTCCTTCTACTTCCAGTAATGCTGTTTGCTTTTGGGCCACTTGGTAATTTGGGCCTTAGGCCCTGTACTCAGCAACTTACGATGATGAAAAACTAAAATATATAGTGTGCCAGCACCATGGTCAACATTTTCCAAATTTGAAAAAAATAACTCGGCAATTACTGAATTTGTACACACGAAGCAATCGTCACCCCCCATGATACGAAAACTTGGCAGGATTCATCATAAAAACGAGACTTGCCGAGTCTTTCCCGGGTGACTGGCCGTGATGATGACAAATTACGTAAATACCTTCTCCTTCATCAGCTCAGTTTTCTTCATGGCGTAGTTGGCAGGGTTTTTCCTGAACTTATCCTTTTCTTGGACGATCTGCGATGCATCAAACACGTGGGAAAACATAACACAACTGGCAAACCACAATGCTGTCACTGCAACAATCTGTATTAAAAGCGTGCAAACTTTTAACCGGCTGCGCAACTGGTTAAATTTACAAGATGAGCAAGGAAATATATATTTTTTTATGACACATGCCGTAAATATGCTCTCAATGGCAACCCTACGATAATGTACACGTACAGCAGTTTTGTCAACCCACTGCCTGACGAGGCCCTCTCCATGCCATGCCGGTCTTGGTGGTTGTTTGACCATACTTCACCACTCTGGTCAGTGCGGGTTGGTGAAGTCCACAGTAATGCTATGCGAAGAAAATCAGTGTCCTCCCAATTGGATACGAGCACAGGATAGTCTTCTTGTATATCTGCGCGTTCCAACCTAGTGGTTGAAACACCTGCATGACAACCAATGTCTCTGTAATTCCAGAAACCAAAACTCGCCGCTAGAATGCTCCACTGACGGGCAACGCAGCACCCGCCACACGTCCCCATGCCCCCTCCCTCACTTCAATAATCTTAGCCACACTAATCAGGTACGAGGAAAAGTTTTTTTCCCCTGGGAATTGTCAATGCTGCGTTTCTACTTCAAGCGTGCCCAGTCGCCTGTTGTCTTTCAGCGGTTCTGAGCGTGCACAGCCAACGCACGAAGTCCTAGCGTCATCAAAGTTTAGCGTAAGTTAACCCTTTCCCGTAACGAGACGTCTGCGAGTTGCAGGGTGGGTCCCGTTCACACGCCGAATCTCGTAACGAGCAAGCAGTTGGCATTAATTTTAATTTAGAGGCATCGCGCCGCTCTTTTTTAAAGACATTGTACTCACCCGCAGAGAACCGTGGCGACACGACCACACTCTACGATAGGGGGCGCCAAACTGTTTACTTCCTTACACGCACGTCATGGTACACCGGAATGGAATCGGAAGAAAAACTGATGACGTAAACGTACGTCATCGGAATGGGTAAGGTTTAAAAAGTGCGGTCTGCCAAACGCATTTGGGGCTCCTAATGGGCCACTGTGTAGGGAAGCGGTTCGCAGTCGCCGCTGTGCGCACGGAGAGGGGGGGGGGGTACGTGGACACGAGGGCCATGCACTCACGTGTTCCACGTCCTGGTCGTTGAACTTGTAATCGTGGGCGACCTTGATGTCCTGATGCTTCTTATTGATTTCGTCCAGGGTCGGCAGCTGAAGCCCTCCCAGCATCATCTGAGTGAAACCGGGGCAAAGTCGTTACGCCCGTAAATACGCTTCGCACTAGACAACGCCTTTTGCTTTGAGGGGGATAATGCTGCCATGGTATAATGGGAAGCACTCGACTTGCGATCCAGAGGTTAGTTTAACACGTGGGCTTTCGCGACCAATATTATCCATAATAAAGGTTTTTTTTTTTTGTGTTAGATGGCGTAAATACAAATGTGTTGTTTTCCCACCACCACCCACCGCAGCCAGTTACACAAATGAGTACCTGGTGCGATGTTTACACACCGCACCAGGTGCTCATTTGAGGCTGTTTCGACCTAGGGGAAGCCCAGGACCGGATCAGATAATCGTCACTGGTGTTGGCCGTGAGCGAGAATCTAACTCGGGTCGCCGGGAACATAGCGAACTGCGCTAACCGCTGCACTACCGCTCCCTAAACTCTCCATCAATATATATACACACACACACGTGTGTGCGCGTGCACGGGCACCGGCCGGCGAAGGGCCTCGCATCAAGAGTCTCCTACAGCCGAGTGGCGCACACAGCACCGCCACCTCCGCCTTACCGCTTCCTTCCACTTCTGGAACTCGTTGTCGGTGATGTCCTGATTGGAGACGAACTCGAGCCGGAATACGCGCTCCTGGTTGCCGTGGCTGGAGGAGACAACCGGCACAGCGCACGCAAGGCCTCTGGGTATTGGTGTGCTCTGATACACGTGTACACACGTACAGCGTCCTTCATTGTCCAACCACTGCTGGATGAGGGCCCTCCCCATGTCGGCCGTACTCCACCAAGCCGGTCAGTGCGATTTGGTGATGATACGGAGCGTAGATGAGGGGGCACAGAGGCGCAGTACAGGAATGGATTTTTCTGCACTCCCCTCCGCTGGCAACGCATGTTTTATACACGGTGGTCACCCATTCATGCACTATCAAGGCTCAACCCGGCTTAGCTTCCGAGATCTAACGAGATCGGGAGGCATATTAAATTCAATGCACCTCATGCCAGGTGGCCTCCATTTTACATGTCCTGCAAAGAATAACCTTCACATGACAATCAAAGCTAAGTTTTAATTATTTTGAGCTGGAATGTCTCGAATTAAGCGGCATTTTTTTTTAAACACGACGCTTTATTGATGCAGTCATCAGGGTAACCGGGCTGAGGCCATCAACTCGCTAGACCTCAAAAACCTGGAGTTTATTTGGGGGCGAGACGTTTAATCTAACGCTGTGCGAGACACAAACACAGCAGCCTCACCGTAACCGGAGGCCCTTGTTGGTGCGTGTTGTCCCCAGCTGGTAGATCTTCCCCGTCTCCATCATACCCGTCACCTCCGCCACCTGCTCGCAACCGGCACCCACCCAAGGGAAACGAGACCATGTCACTTCGGTCAGAAAGGGAGAAGCGCACAGATGCCGCTGATAATGTGGTCAAAATAACAAAATGTAAATGTTCCGCCTGTGTTGCCGATTGTGCCGCTAGACGGGAGGCGATTGGTCAGGCATTGTGACGTAATTGGCACCGTCAGTTGCGTCACGCTGGGCGCGGCTTGGAACGGGTTTCCAGTTTTTGGGAGGCAGGATGCGGGGGCGGCCACCATTTTTAAAGGAGCCCAAGTAATCGACCCCAAAATAGGAGTTGATTATAATTTTTACAAGCATGGCTTTTCTGTGTTAGGACGTATGTTAGAATATTTCCTTTCTCAAGCTTTCGCCATTCACGACTGCTGGCATCTCCACCTCAACTCCTGAAGGGTTGGAAGATACCCACATGAGAGGTGCCCACTTGACAGAAGAAATTCTCAACACTCAGCCGAACCCGCAAGACGACACTTGGGATTATGGCGACTGCACAAACCGGCGTGTTAGATTACAATTCCAAGTCGAATAATCGACCGAGCTGAGTAACCGCATGAGCTCTAGATCAGTGGTTCTCAACCGAGGACAAGCGTGAGATAATTCATGAATGTGAAAGTCATTGGTGAATAATGTATGAATATGCCAATATGAAATAACTACGATGAAATTTTTATCCATATGGGTTAGAAAAGACCTTTTAAAACTCATTGATCGTAAGCAATTTGCGTAATGCATGCAGAGCATCCGTTTATTTTGTATTTGCTTGCAGTTACTAGCTTGTTAGGGACACCTCAGAAAATGGACAATTATTTAAAATATTGACGTACATTTTTTTAATTCACTTGCAGTTACTAGCTAGCTAGGATACTTCACAAAACGGACATTTGGTTCAAATATTGACGTTCATTATTCACACATTTATTTCTCAGAACCATATCGGGCCAGGCAAGGGGTTAAACACAGTAGCCAAATAAAAAGGTTGAGAACCACTGCTCTCGATGGATGCGAGCGAGCGGTCGCAAGTGACTGCGCGACGCACCCGGTACACCGGCTTGGCGTTGTTGTTGCCGATGCCAATGCGGACGAAGCAGCCGATGGCCGTGCGCTCAAAGAACGGCATGTGGCACCAGCGCTCCATCTTGTGCCGCGACAGCCGGATCTGGTTGAGCTCGTCCTTGGATGACACCAGCGTCGTCTTGGGCGCCGACTCCTCCTTCCTGCGGCAAGGATCATCGTTGTCACCGCTGTCGTCATCATCGTCATAATCATCAGCCATGATCTATCCACTGCCGGATGAAGGCATTCCCACGACTCTTAACGACCCTGGCTTGTAGGTGGATGGGTAGCCTGAGGGGCATTTCAAGACCCGTGTCAGAACACCGAGCAAGCACCAATGGGGGTCTTGGATTAGAATGTCACGCTCCCATCACTGCCATCGTCATCAGCCGTGACCAATCTACTGCTGGCTGTACGGTATAGATTTCAGCATACATGGCTGGCTCCTTAATAAGGAGGGGAAGCTTTTGATTGGTTCTTATAAATAGGCTTTTAGTGATGTTAACGTACAACCTCAAATATGCGGTTGCAGAATTCCATTCGTGGGCAGACCAAAGACGTGTGGAGTCGTTAGGAGTTGGCGCTCGTTCAAGGAGGGCACGCGCACGCAGAAGGAACCCAATGACTCACTCTTCCTCCTCATCGGAGGAGGACGACGAGCAGGAGCTCTGGTCGCTCTTCTCGCTCGCCTTGTCATCCTCCTCTTCCTCCTCCTCCTCCTCGTCGTCGTCAGAGTACACGTCGCTCGCGTTTAGACGCTGCTTCCGTGCCAGAAGCTCCGCTGCAATTGGTCAAAATAAAACAATGACGGACAACAGTCCTTCGGTATTAGGCAAAGATGAGTAGACAATGTCACCTTCATATATCCGTCTCTTCACATGCAAGGCCTTCTCGAAGTGGATTATTTCAGCAGCATTGATTCAGTACAAGCAAACACTGGACCTTTTTCAGCACACAGAGTCTCATCAGCAAAGTCAAGCTTCGATTTAAAGCTTTCGTGACTGCAATGATTCATCTTCTTTGGTTCTTTTGGTAAAGTCACGTAGAATGAGAATAAAATAATAAATTGATAAAATAATATTATTGTGTTATTTTATCAATTTATTATTTTATTCTCATTCTACGTGACTTTACCGAAAGAACCAAAGAAGAGGAAAAGTCAAGCTTGCTTGAATCAATGCTGGTGAACTGCCAGATGTTATCTAGAAGGACTCCCTCTCTCTTTAAGATTCAGGTCCTGGTTTGACATTAAATTATAATCAATCGGGTCATTGTGGAGAATATAAATAACAAATAAAAAAGTTCCTTCTGACGATGAGTTCACACAAGTGAATGTATGCAGAATCTCCAAACATAAGAGAACAGATAAGACTCCCTCATCCCAAAGGGATAATCATCAGTTAACATGACCCTTGACTGGTACTTGAACTCACGCACTTCCCACTCTGAGTTAAGCACCAGATGGTGCAGAAAGATGTACAGCTGGGGATATCCAATTGTTTTGAGTAATTTATTATACCAGATCGAAGTCTGTAATATGAACTGTACTCGGGCATTGTGAAATACCGTAGTTTCATTCATGAAGGTCAGAAGTCACGAATGCAACAACGAAGCAATGGTGGAAGAAAGGGTGGTGAGCGATGCCAATTGAAGAGTGTGGGCTCAGACAATGCATTGAAGTGACATAAAAAGTGATATCATGCTACTCTTGAACAAATGCCATGCCTCACGTGCAGCTTAAAGTCACAAGTCATCACGATCACTGTCAGCCATAGTCAATCCACTGCTGAAGGCAAACTATTACTGACCCTTTAAAACTGCAAAGGGGCGCGGAGCAACGCACACTCTCAGGCGGCTGTGCCTGGCTGCATCTACTAACAACTGACAGGCTTTGGCCTGGTAGGCATCGAGTCTGGCTTAGGGGTTGCCCTGGCAAGATCCAAAGTGTCCACATGGGCAGTGGAGTTGTGGTGAGATGGGGGCAGAGAGGGGAGGGGTTGGGGGATGGTGGGGAGGAAGGTGTGTGGTCACCCACCCGTCTTGTTCTTCTTCTTTTCCCGCTCGGCTTTGAGCTCCTCCATGGCCTGGGACTTCTTGTCGAGTTTCTCGTCCCGCTTTGAGCGCCGCTCCTTGCTGTGCGACATCACCTGCCCAAGCAACGCCGATGCCAAACCCGCAGCCGCCGTCAGTCACGGGGCACGCGTTCGCACGTTCGTTCCGTTTCGCCACCGGCTCCCGTGGCACCGGCGGTAGTCGCGCGTTCACCGCTTGGTGCAGAGGTTCACGGTTCAAATACAGCGGCCGCCCTGATTACTACTGCGGCTGCGACAAGCGTACATGGTGAGCGCCGTCTACTTCACATCGTGCGGTAAAGCCCCCCTGACTTCACTGGCAAAGAGTAGACCATCGCGTGTGCTGGCATCACGGTCCAAATTTTCTTCGCTCGAAAATTACACTGCAATAATTTTTCAATTGGAATTAGATATAGCAACAATCATTGCCTCCCATATTGGTAGACTAATGCACCAGGTCATTGTTGTAAATGACGATTATTCTGGTCTCTTGGCAATTCTCACCGACAAAAATAAATTTGAAAAACCACGATAAAAACATTTGTTCAAAAATAAAAATTCCTGGCACTGTCCGCACATTTGTGCAGGATCCACAGCCGGGGTGGGGGGTGGGTAGGGGGGGTGGGGTTGGGAGGGGCGAGATCAGTGTGACGCACGAATCCGGCTCAATGCCGTGGGACGCAGGTGACGTCGTCGTGCAGATGTACGCGGTAATGTCACCACCGCGCGCCAGCCAGCAAAACTTTTTTTTTTTACAATCTCGTAAAAGATAGATAATTTTTTCGCCGTCTCACCTTCACGGGCGTCTCCTGCACCTTGCTCTGCTTCTCCCTGTGCTCCCGGTCATGCTCGTGTTTCTTTCGTTTCTCCTTCTTCTTTCTCGCTTTCAGTTTCTTCTCGATCTCGAATCTGCGGCGTCAATCGTTCACGAGTCGCGCATCCGAAAAGGATTTTTTGAAAACATGGCGCAAAGACGCCGCGTTGATCCGAATTTCGGGGTCGCAAACGGGCCCGGGACCGCCTCGTGGGCTTCAAGCAACACACAAGCTGATCAGCAACGACACCACCCGAATGGCCATCTTTAATTTTCCATGGAAACAGTGGCCAAAGCTTGGCTGGATCTGCACACAAGCCATGGAAGATACCTGATGCACAAGTGAAAAATCAAACTCACTCCTGCGCATGGCTGCCGCGATGAAAACCAAATCACGGACGCATAAACTCTCAATATGCCCAATAAATATTTGAAGGCGGTGGGTGAATGAATGGGTAGCTATATCCGCAATTCACCAACTCTCATACAAAGCAATCGAAGAGCTAAATCACTTAGAACTGAATCGCTAAATAGTTAGTATTTCTTTTCCATACAAAAACCCCATCATCAGTCACACATGAAGCAAATTAGAGGAAACAATGTTACAATGTCTCCCTGCTGACATGAGCCTGGGGCGGTGCCAGTTGTGTAAATTCCATATTATCATAAGGGCCAGTCTCTCCATTAGAGAAAGCAATTTAAAATGTAGGCTTTCGCGATCAATATTGTCCATAAGAGATTTTTGGGTTCGATCGTGTAAATATAAGTGTCGTTAAACCAGTCATCACCTGCCACAGCCAATTAGTAAAGTTTGTCACAAAACAAAACATGCCAATTCGTTATTAGTACAGCACATCGCACATCGGTGTGTTGGAGAGTAAATCCACAGCATTCACAATTTGAGCATGACATTTAGCTGGTAACTACATCCAGCATGATTTTCCAGAATTCTCCATCAGTGTGCTGTACTAGCAAAGAATTGGCATGTTTTGTTCACGTGACACACTTTACTAATTGGCTGTGTTGGGTGGTGGCGGGTTTAACGACACATTTATATTTACGGGATCTAACCCAAAAAAAAATCTATTTTGGAAGAAAGCAATGTTGACGTCCCATGGTGGTAACAATTTTATTGGGCCTGAAAGGATGTTGGTCTGAGTCAATCCCTAATAATGCTGCTTTGAAAATAACAGCATTGTAATTGTGAGTCGAGTGATTTAAACAGTGCCAACTTGTCAGATACAAACAAAACCCCAAACTGAAGGATTACCAAAACGAGTAGGTAAAATATAGTCAATTAGCCGTCCGTAAATAGCTAAGTCTAGCGAATAATCACAAGCCAATCGCTCCATTAAATGTGAGGTCATGCTATTTCAAACAACAATTCCCAATTTTGATCGTTTTTGCATTCCTCGTCTCTGCACGACTTTTGGTTCTCGAGTCATATGAGGAATGACAAACAACTTTCATTATGAGTACAATGGATGTAGTGGCATAGTTGCATAGTGTGGAGGCGGTGTAGCTGCACCCGGGCCTATGGGCCGGAGAAGACAAGGCACCGGCGACGTATATACAGAAACTATCGTGTTTTTGTATCTATTGTGTTTTTGTATTGTTTGTTGTTGTAACCTTCTGACCCGCCCCTACTGGATATCTGTGAAAAAGCTTTATAGTTCATCGGATTCTGACTATGACGTATGTTTAACTTCTTTCGCACCGTACGCAGCCAACTGTTCTAAATCGAGGTGTGGGGGGGCGGGGCAAAATTAGACATTGGGTTTGGGGGGGGGGGGGGGGTGGGGTCGCCCATTTCACGCCTTGTGGCAGTCAGGCTATGTGTGCCACCACTGAATGTGCTTGGGGGGGAGCTTTTGCATGCGAACCTCGTCTTGAGAACTTCGCGCTTCTCGATGCGGTTGTAAAGCTCCTGCTCACGCTCCTTCTCCGTCATCTTGGAGAGGCGCGCGCGGTCCTCCGCGTCGCCCATCAGGTCGTCGTCGTAGCCATCGTGGAACTGGTCCTTCCCTTCCGACGATGAGGAGGACGACGACGAGCTCGCCGAACCCGAGCCCGAGTCGCTGCTGCTGTCCGAGTCAGACACCTCCCCTGGGGGCAGAGGGCGGTTGGGGGGGGGTGGGGGGGGTGGCGTTGTGGCCACGAAGAAGGTTCAGTGCGGCAGTTCTTCCAAATGCACTTCCTGGCGAGCCCACGTAACAAAATTAGTGCGCGCAGGTGGGCCACATGACGTGGGGTCGCGTGTAAATACGCTGCGACGTGTTTCCGCACCTCCGATTCGCACCGTTTGCCTATGTACGTTGCGCAAAAAAAGGTTCAACATACACACACACACACACACGTGACGTCTGTGCACTGGGAACAGGATGTAATAACATCTGCACGTATGATTAATAGTTGGTCCCTCTTGCGCACAGCTTTCTCATCTCTACGTATCGTTTATTTCCCTCGCATCCGAATCGATGTCAAGCATCAAACAGTTGGATTAGGATGGGAGCTATCTCAGCCAAGAGAGGCAGCGATGGATGAGGGAAACGGTCAGGGCCCAACAGCCCACGAGGCTAAGCGACTTCGGTGGAGAAAACCACCGGCGTTCCCTCCTTGCGCACGCGTCTCCTTTCCACGGGTAAAGCCCTCCTGCCGCTCTGCTCCGTTGGAGCTCTTGCTGCGATCGAAGTGTTGGGACTGTACTACGCTGGTGCCGCACCTTCCTCCGGCTCGGACGCCTCCGCCGCGCTCTCCTCCTCGGAGGACCCCGACGCCGTCTTGGCCACGGCCGACGTCTTCTTACTCGACTTCTTGCCGCTCTTCCCCTTGCCCTTCTTCTTGGCGTTGTTGCCTCCGACCGTCCACTGTGGAGAACGCAGGCACACACCTCTCGTAAGACCATCACGACGCCTCTCGCATGTATTAGGCATGTAGCGACGCATTGATTTTATGGGAATCGGCCCAGTTTTCCCGTGTTGAACCGATGCAGTGAATAATATGCACTGCAAGAGGCAATAGCTTAATACAATGAAACCCTGCACTGGTTTAACACATTCACCGTCTCATCAGTAGTTAGGCTTGCGTGAAAACCAATGCCGAGAAGGCCGTGCAGCTGACAGGGTGTGTAAAATAACCACTCGTATATTTTTTACGTCAAGCCGCAAATATGGGAATGAGGCTTTATTTATCTTGCCATCAACATTCTTCACACTGACTCTTAATAAGTTTTGAATGTTGTAGATGATTAATGGGATAGAATTGCAAAATACATTTAAAGGAACAAATTTATTTGTGGGAGTAATCGTTGATTATTTTGATGCGTACATGTTGCACGAAAGATTTTCACGTGGTTCCTGAAATGCTGCACTTTCCATACATTTTAACAAATAGAATCCTATCTTGCCATCTCACCAAAAAAAGTGGCAATAGATTTTATAACGAGGGGGGCGACTTGTAACAACATAGCTAGAATATATCTTTATATTTTTTTGTTCCTTTTTATGCAGTGTTATTGACAAATGTGGAGGTTTTGGTGTTGTTATTTGTGCTTGAGCACCACTGCTAATGCAGCAGCATCACTAAATAAAGAATTCAATATATAGAATATGTGGTGTATATAAAATGAATGGTGGTATATATAACTATCTTTCCAATGGGATAGAGCCAAGAGGATTTCCTTTGGCTACAGTTCCAAAACATTTCAAACGTGATAATCTAATTTAATCAGAGTTTAAAAGAAGGGGCACTCGATGATAACTTCCTTAATTTCCTAGTTTAACCAAACTGCCAATGGCCTAGAATTACCACTTTTTTATTCAATGCTTTGGGGTGACTGTATTCACAACGCTATTTCCAAAACAAAGTAGGCTGGTTAAAGGCCAACCCCACATTCCATATTAACAGAAGGCCTGTGAATGGATAGATTAAGGGGAGATTCCCATTATGAAGAAATGACCGGCACACATCATTCCGGTGTTTTCCCATAGTGTCGGTAATAGCGATGTGAGCACATACGATCTGAAAAGCTGAGAAAAAGACCGTCAGAACGAAAATCTGACCCCAAATATGAAATCACTCCACAATTAACAATATAGCAGTGCCAACAAGAACCTGGATTTGAATCCAGATGCAGCCGCCCATGATTAAACCGAGATTTAAAGTGTAAAGCAATGAATGAAGCGTCAGAGCGAGTGTGTCGCGATCTCACCTCCAAGTCGCTGTCGGACGTCTCCGAGTCGGAGGAGTCTGACCGTTTTGCCGCACTCGCTGCCGCCGCTGCCGCTGGTTGTGGCGTGGCGGCCGGAGGCACGGGCGAGGGGCTGCTCTGCTGCTCGGGCTCACTGCGCTTGCGCTTGGCCAGCGAGAGCCACTCCTGCGTGGGAGGCAAAATGACGGCGGCAACAACAATCGCCATTCGCCACTAAGTGGCGATAACGTCACCACGGCGCTCGTGTCAGGCTATGTGCACCTTAAGGCTCGTGGACGGAGGGGGGGGGGCCCTCTGCACATGCACGCGGTGCGACTCAATGACTGAGCAGGCACGCCGCGTTATTCAAAACCGTGTATATCAGTCAAACGAGATCAACTACACCTCTTAAGCAAAGGGTATATTCGTTCTTTTTTTTAAAGAAAAAGTTCCTTACTACGTAGCCTCTCACTTTTGTGCTGTATACCTCTCGGATGTGCTTTCAGGTTGTATGGAGTGTTGTTCGGCACAATGTCCGACGTTACTCTCCATGTGCTGGGAACTTAATTAAGTTCCAAAAGAAGATCGCAGCAGTTGAGTGAATGGTCCCAGGTCATGAAACGACACTCCACGTACTAGGGGAACTTCTTCAGGAACTGAATTCTGTACCTGAAGCAGCTCCTAGTATGTGTTGTTCATCATGTTGTGTGACATCATGCTGAACAACATGCAGAACACCCGAAAACACATTGGAGAACTAAAGCTGGTAGTAATTAAGAACGAGGTGAGTATAAGAGGTGACTGGGTGGCTGAGGTCAGAGCTGTCACTGCCAAAAACCTGGGTTCGATTCCAGGTAGCCGTCTATGATTAAATTGGGGTTTCAAGTGTAGAGATGATGGCTTCCACCTGATAGCCAATGGCTGCACATGAAAAAAATCATTACATTGCACCTGACTATGCCATGTATGTCGCTAAATTCCAGCTCTGAGAATTTTCAACATAAATGTTACTTTCATGTGACAAACACAACTCTCCGTAGCATGGTACGTAGGAACGTTCTAGCCCAGGGATGGGCAAATTTTTTGACTCGCGGGCCACAATGGGTTCTAAAATTTGACAGAGGGGCCGGGCCAGGAACAGATGGATGGAGTGTTTGTGTGAACTAATATAAATGACATGTAAAAATCATTACATTAAAGGATTTGGCCTTTAACAGGTAGCAAAGCATTTATTTGCAAGGCAATTTAACAAATTGCACGAACATGAACAATACAAAAACACGTCGTAACGTGACTGATCAAACATCATGAAAACATCCGAGGCCTGCGCCCAAACCAATTACCACACTCCCGGTCAAAGTGCGCCATCTAATGTGGAAATTGGGGCATTACAGGAGAAAGGTGAAATTTAATTTAATTTAATAATATTTGGACAAGTTCGGCGGGCCGGATTAAAAAGCCCAACGGGCCGTATACGGCCCGGGGGCCGTACTTTGCCCATGTCTGTTCTAGCCCCTATTGCATGGATCAGAGGTCACTTAGAGGGATCATAGAGGTGGCTCTGTGATCGCAGTACATGATATCGCTTCTACAGGGCTGTTCTCTAACACAAGGGACTCGTACTGCTCTGCAAAAGTTCGGAAGGGCTTCTTCGTCTCATGCCATGGCACCGCTTGCTCATAAGGTGTGTGTATATATGGAAAATTGAAGACAAGCTACTGTGCGATTGTGGCCATGAAACCGAAACAATAGACCATATAGTAAACCAATGTAGCCTGCCATCCTTCAACGGAGTAATCGCAAAGCTACCACGAACTCTCTGCTGAAGCCCTCTCGTGGCAAGCAGTCCCTCAACATTGCCATTTATCTCCTGAACATATTGCCATAGGCAAGAACAGAATTTGGTGGGGGGGGCAACAGCTAAAAAAACACCAGGTGAGGGACTGTCGGGATGTAACTATTTCAGCTGTTGTCGTTTTTGCTCCATCCAAACTCTGAAACAGCGTATCCACTCATGAATAACTAGGCGATTGCCCATGGTTATATGTACACATTACGTAGGGGCTGAAGAGATAGACCTTGAGGAAGAATTATACTCGTAGATGAACCTTCAGGTTGCATGGGTAGATTGTCATTCAATACGAGCAGGCTTCGAACTAAAATAACAATTCAAAAGTAAATATCGTCTACAACTCCAAACACAAAAACAGAAAGACGTTTAAATTCGGACCCACAGTTTGCACAAGAAGACGGAAGGAATTAACTCAGAGATATGACGTCTGCAGACGATGGACGCGGCGATCCAAGTTGCGAATATGAAACTAAAAATAACTAAACAAAACCACGAGCGGGGCACATCCAAGCACGAACACCGCTGCAACACCCCGCTCCCCCCCACATCCGACGGCTGAGGAACACAACGCATCTGTACATTGTGCACAAGAGTGAATACATTTGAGATTCATGATGACTACGATCTCCCGGCTCGAGGTTAAAATGTCTACACTTGCTAAGCAAAAGTTTCGCGTATTCTACAATGCATTTACAGGAATTGCTAAATAACTGAACTCGTGGAAAAGGCACAGCTTAAATGAAGCAAATATATTTGGAAATTATTAAACTGCTTGAATCCACCCGCAACACAGAATATCGCGACATACTGAGTAATCATTATCATCACCCATGCTCTATTTGCTATTGCATGAAGGGCTCACCAACCTGCCACAATCCCTTACGGTCATGCCATCATTGCAAGTCGCAGCAATATCCACCGATCAGCTGCTACACAGGAGCTGCTTTTACGGCTCCATCTTCACTGTGATTGTCCTCTAAGACGCGTTTCCCTCATATGTTATGCATTTGCTCACTGGTCTCAGTGTGGCTAGGGCAGTGTTTGTTTACAAAGCCTCTGCTGAAGAGACCCAAAATGCCAAAACAAGTCAGTGTACTTTGTAATAAAAAAAATGCTGACTAGCGCGGTGGTCTACGTACGGTGTGCAAAAAGTTCAACTTACGTTTATTTAGGCCAAAAGAATGACTGCCATAAACATGTGCCGAGAAGGTACAGGGGTGAAGCTGTCACTTCTGAAACGCGGGTCAAGATATCGGGCACTATTTACGTGGCGTTTCTCTGTTTGAGGTTCTCAGATGATTCCCTTGGAATACGTTCACAACTCCACTGGAGGAGAGCCTGCACACACATTTCATTGTACAGTACTGTACTGCATCACTCTCCCATTTCTTTGGGTTCCGACCCGGGACCTATCTATACTTACGATGAATATGGGCCCCTGTGAGCCACGCTGGTACTACCTTCGATGCCGTGTTTAATAGTCGTGGGTTAGTAAGGCCCATGGTCAAACCTCACTGCTGGATGATGAATGGCCTCCCGAATTCGCCGCGAGAGATTTGAATGCACTACACATGTTGATCACGGCCAAACACAGCACGATACAAGTTGTACCTGCAGTTTAGCCAAGCCATAATGCCAGTTCATTGAATTGTGCGAGGTTATACAAACTTGTTGTGGGGAGGGGGGGGGGTGCAAGACGGCGTGCGTGGAAACGCAGGTACAGTAATACAATTTCGAACACATGTTTACGTGGAGGCTGTACCAGGTTTTGGCTTTAATCCTCGAGGGCGAGAAACGCGAGTTCAAACCGTGGGTTGCGGGCGTTGACTCGGCACATCATCCATCCCCAGATAATCATGTTTTTTTTTTTGGTACAGCCCCACTTTGGGGGGGGTTAGGGTTTAGGGGTTAGGGTTTAGGGTTCAGGAACGTGCGATTCCCACCCGCCGCCGACTGTGGTGCTGCGAACAGTAGGCTAGCATTTCTCATTTGAGACACGAACAACCACTTAAGGCTGCGTTACAAAAAAACACACGGGGGGGGGGGAGCGGGGAGAGACAAAGACGGGCGGCGGTGGGCCCGACAATCACTAACCGCGTCCATGCTCTCGTCGCTGCGGCTGTCGTCGCTATCGGAGTCGATCACGACCCTTCCTTTTCTCTTCTTCACCATCTTTACGCCGTTGGTTGTTTTCGTCGACATCGTCGTCGTCGTCGCCGCTGCTGTTTAACCTCGCTGGCTTCCTATCGGCGTGCGGTTAATTAGCGGCGGCGACGGGGGGAGGAGGAGGAGGAGATTAAATGAAGCGTCAGACGCCCGAGCGATGCGATCCGATGCCCTCTCTCCCCGGCCCCTTCGCGCCCAAGCTTTGCCGTTCTTCCCTGATGGCGTCACTGCCGTTTGGAATTCGCAGCCCGCATTGACGAAGCGCGCGCGCGCCCCGATTGGCCCCGGGGAGGGGGAGGTGGGTGGGGGGGAGAAGGGGCGCGTGGGGCCCAATCGCGTGCGTGAATAAGCGGGAGGTGGGGGGGTTGTTGGGACGGGTCCCTATGCGCGCTAGGAAATTAAGTCGAATGCACGCGGCTCGTTGGTCACGTGACCGTTCCTATTCTATATCAATACTGCCCTGGTCTACGGAAAGCGCGGTGGGGTGGTGGTGGTGGTGGGGGGGCAGGGACGGCCCGCGGTCACGTGCGCGTTTGGTAAATCGACCGGCGTAAAACACGCGAACTCCCAATTCCGTTCGTCATTGACATTCGTAGAAGGGCCACGGCGCGAAACGTTGATTCCGGCACGGTACAAGAGTGAAAATTCGAGTGAAATGGGTCGTAGAAAATGCCTGTATTGTACTTTCATTTTACGTAGTTGTGGAATGCAGATCCAAGGGCCAAAAACATCCAAGCGGCCAGCAAAATGCAGCACGAATAACGGGTTAAATGCCGTAGATAGAAGTTTGTACGTTTCTTTAATTTAGCAAGGTTATTATAACAGCTTCGGGAATTAAAGAGATGCTGGGAGGGAATTCTTAACCGGATCAGAGCAAGGGAAGAGCATTAATCATAATCATTATTCGGACTGGAGGAATCCGATGAGCTATGAAGCTCTTTTTCACACGTTCACTATGGGCGAGTCAACAATCCAGTTTGGGCGGGTCAGCAGAAAGATGTGTTGTGTGACCTGCAGTGTTCTGAGTGAGTGAGTGACTGAGTGGGTGACTGAGTGACTTAGTGGGTGAGTGAGTGACTTAGTGGGTGAGTGAGAGAGTGAGTGACTTAGTGAGTGAGTGACTTAGTGGGTGAGTGAGAGAGTGACTTAGTGAGTGAGTGACTTAGTGGGTGAGTGAATGATTGCATGGGTGAGTGACTTGAGTGGGTGAGTGACTTAGTGGGTGAGTGAGTGAGTGACTTAGTGGGTGAGTGAGTGAGTGAGTGACTTAGTGGGTGAGTGAGTGACTTAGTGGGTGAGTGAATGATTGAATGGGTGAGTGACTTGAGTGGGTGAGTGACAGTGGGTGACTTGAGTGGGTAAGTGACTAAGTGGGTGAGTGACTTAGTGGGTGAGTGAGTTATTGAGTGGGTGAGTGACTTGAGTGGGTGATTGACAGTGGGTGACTTAAGTGATTGAGTGGGTGACTGAGTGGATGAATGATTGAGTGGGTGAGTGACTAAGTGGGTGAGTAACTATGTGGGTGAGTTATTGAGTGGGTAAGTGACTTGAGTGGGTGAGTGACAGTGGGTAACTTAAGTGATTGAGTGGGTTAGTGACTGGGTGGATGAATGATTGAGTGGGTGAGTGACTAAGTGGGTGAGTTATTGAGTGGGTGACTTGAGTGACTGAGTGGGTAAGTGACTGAGTGAGTGAGTCGCTGAGTGGGTGAGTTTTTGCTGTGACCACTGTGGATGAAAAAAAAAACACAGCCAATTTAGACCGGGTCCTCGAAATGGATTGAGGAATCAACAAGTGAAGTTAATGGCAACAATAACTAGGTTAGTAGCAACGTAAGAATCAATGAGGCGACTGACCCCTGATAAGCGAGTGAATCGGTGAGCTCTAGTTCATCAATCAATCTGACCAATCTCCGTGGAATTCCAGTAAGTGCAGTGGTTTTAGTATCCAGTGTAGACTTGTCCTTTTAAGTTACACAGCGGGAATCTCATAAGACAAATCGTAACACAACGCTTTTATAAAAATGTTCCACCGATTAGTTTGTTCAACAGAGCCAAACGCGCGTGAAAGCCACAACAACAACGCTGCTGTGTACTTGTGCCATAGGGGCCGACCATAAATGACGTCACGCAATTTTGGACGATTTTTGACCCCCCCCCTTCGTCACCCCCCCCCCCTCATATGTAACGTCACAAAGCTCTGCCACCCCCCCCCCCAAATAAAACATGCTTCAAATCGCTATAAACTATTGTCATTGTAGTGCGTATTTAATGTGGCGCTGTACTCTGTTGTAGGAGAAAACATTTATTAAAAAGTCTATTTAATTAAGTAGAACGTGTTGTCCATATTAATTTAAAGTTGCGCATTTTGATGTGACGTCACATTTCTCAACCCCCCCCCCCTCGTCACACATCGTCACAAATGTCTGACCCCCCCCCCAGGTGCGTGACGTCATTTATGGACGGCCCCATAGGGAGAGCTGCCACAAGGGGTCCCCTAGGATACACGTGATGCCAGGCAGTTCGAGATGCCGAGAACCCTTTACATGCAAATCATTACCACACAAACATGATACGGAGATTAATTGGTGATAAACTAAAAGTTTTTTTTTTATTTTGACAGGTAAAGCCCACTGAGCTATATAAGTATTTTTTTTAGAAGCGACCTGGCCACAATTGATAGCCGATTGAAGAAAGATGCTTACGTGGAAATGTTTAGCAGCCCAAAACCGAAGGACCCGGAGAAAAACCCACGCGACCACTGGGAGAACATGCAAACTCCGAACATATAGACAATATAACTTATAGAATATAGACAATAGGTTCGGGGCCGAACCCATGACCTCCTTGCATACCAGTCGAGGTAGTGAACATCTTTCCACCCTGGCATTGGCAGCGATGCACAAACACAAATGGAACATGTGTCAATGTCACTGCCTTAAAAGAAAAAAAATACACAAAGTTTCTGCCATTTCCCGAAAAAGGGCCAAAGAACACGGTGTTTTGAAAGAAGGACCATTGCCCGAAACGTCGCCTGTTTACATGCGTTCCCTATTAAGGCCACACACACACACAACGTTATCGACACATGTGTTGCGTGTTTTGTTATTCAAACGTATGCGGAAGCACGTTTTTATTTAAATTCAATCTCTACTCATTAAATTATCAGGGTTTTACCATTCCACTTTACAATCAGCCCAGAGGCCTCCAACCCCTCACCCCCACCTTAACCACAGCTGAGACAAATGAACAAACAGAATGGGGAAAGCCCCCCCGGCCCCGCCCCCCGCCCCACCCCCGGCCCCCCCCCCCCGCCCCCCCCCCCCCCCCGCCCCCCGCCCCCGGCCCCACCCCGCCCCCCGGAAGAGTTGCCACCGAGCGAATCAGCACGCATCGAAACGCGACGGGATTGTGGGGCGGGGGGCGTGCAAGTTTCGCCCCCCCCCCAACCACCGCCCCACCAACGAATCAGTCGTCGCGCGAAACAACACAAAACGCCGCTAGAGTTTCCCTTCGCCGCTCGCGCAAATTTTGCGAACGCCACACGCCCCGAGGGCGCCCGTCCAATCGGCGCGCGTTGCTCGCCCGCAGTGCAACTCGGGGCCCCCGGGGCATTCTGCGATGTTAAAGCTCGCGGCCAGTTGCGACTGCATGGGGCGCGTTCCCGTGATTATTGAAGCCGTGCAGCCGCGTGGGAGACGACGTGCGGAGGGGGTTTCGTGGACGAGGTTTGGTGGACGAGGTTTGGTGGCGGTGATTTACGGGGCGAGTAGGAGAGACGATGAGCGCCGCCACGGCGCCACGGATCGCGCGGAGCAGCGAGGAGTTCACGGACAACGGAGTCGTCACCCTCACCTCCATCGAGCAGGCGAGGAAGAGCCTGGGGGGGGGGGGTGGTGGTGGTGTGTGGCGGTGGAGAGACGGGGAGAGGAGAGATGTCGGGGGAGAGGAGGAGAGGTCTAGACAGGAGAGAAGATAGATGTGGAAACTAGAGGGAGAGAGAGAGAGTGAGACGGGGAGATGTGAGAGGAGAGAGATTGGGAAGGAACACGAGGGTGTTATGAAGAACGCTGGGGAGCGAGGCGGAGAGAGAGATCCTGGTGCGGTGCATAACGGAGTAAATGCAGCGGCCAAGCGTGCTTGGCCATGCGTGCTTGGTGCCAGGAATGAAATGGAAAGGTTTTATGGCTCCTGTGCAATGTACCACTCTCTTTCGTATCTCTACGCCTCCAGGCCTGTGGTATATCCGGTACCAACTTGGACCACGGACTCAATAGCAACGCCAGTCGGGCAACATGGGACTGCGGATGGGAGGGCAGGCCGAGGGTATTGTCGCGCCCTTCGCAGGCTGATTTGTACGGTCGGTTTCTTTTATTTTTTTTATTCACAGAAGCGCATTGAAGACATCATCAAGCAAGCGTGCTCATTATTCGAGCCGCCCTTGTCTGAGTAAGGAAGGCAAGCCGTCTCCGGATCCCCACACTGCACGTGTAAACCATCACAGTACACAGACGTGCAGTCAGCGTTCGTTGCCGACTGTCAATGCGCATGTCGCTTATCATCATCATCATCGGCATCGGCAGCCACGGTCGATACACGACTGGATGAAGCTCCAATCCAGCCCGCCGTCATCTTTCACAATCGTGCGATAAAACAATCCACCCGGCACCTTCACGCGAGCTGATTTCATCGTGTTATCATCTCCTCGGCAAAACGTCGCCTCGGCGGCGTTCCGTCCCTTGGCCGTGTCCATTCCGTCATTTCCTTGCCCACTTAGTTGCGTACGCCAAATATAAATACGTAAACGCGCTCTGCTCGTGTAGTTATCGTCGTTTGTCAAGGGGCATTCTCACGATTTTTACGGGATTTTCAGTTTGGCGTTGGGATGTTTGTCCAGGTTCCTTTTTAATCGGTGACAGACAGCAGGACGAAACCAGATTGACTGGAGATTCACATTGCACCTCCGATTGGCACGGTGCGAAATAAGTTAAACATACAGCCCCTGAGGCAGTGGTGCGATTTCTACATTCCTATGACGAGGGTCAGAGCTATCCCCTTGTTGACTTCTCTGTAAAGTGGTATCATTCGTTTTGATTAACCTGGGCAGAATGATGGGCTGAGTCGAGCCCCCCAATCAAGATTTGAACTCGCAACCTTCCGATTGTGAGTCGCTCGCCCTACCGCCGAGCCCGCTGAGCCCGAAGCGATAATACTAAATGTTCCGCATAGATGGGTTACGTACTGCCTTCATGGCCACCGCACAGCAAAAAGATTACTTCTAAGTGGTGAACCGACATGTCTTATCGCTGCTTTGGATAACAGCTGTGCAGTGTGTGCAGATTTCTGTGCTATAACTCGTGCTTTCTTGTCTGCTCTCCCAGACCCAATTTATTTCGAGACAGACATTATCAGTATCTGAAGAAAGGGCTGCATCATTTATCGGACGCATACGAGGTAATAGTGCCCTGTTTGGTATGTGTGTGCGTTGTGCGAAAGAGATGGTGATTGTATGCAGTCTGCTACACAGTAATGATGACTCTTGAGAGACAGGCTGGCAGGCTCCCAACTAAAATGTCTGTGCACCACACATTCAGTCAGTGCTGACTGTGTGTCTGATGAGTGGTGAGCAGCATCTGATGAGTGTGTGGTGAGTAGTGAGTGTCTCTCTGGTGAGGTAGGTCAGTGTAAGGCGAGCGGTTAGTGGCGTGTCTTGTAAATAGTATCATTTGAGCAAAGCTAGCCCAAGGCATACGGTGACACAAGCAAAACTTGTGTCTGAGTTAATAAGCCGCATTTGTTGCCTATAAATTAATGTTACATGGGACCTCGTGGCAGGGCAATGAGTGGCAGATATTACGATTGCACTTGTTATTTCAAATGTGCATTTCATACTCAACCGAGTATGTGGACACGATCAGTCACTGCACACGCCAGCTGATGCTATAACAGAGCCAGACTAGGGCATCTTTAGGATGCTGAGGGTTCCATGTTATTACCAGAGGCTCGGAGCCAAACTGAGGCACGTTTAAGGTTCTTAGGATGGGGTGCGGGGACATCAACGACCACTATTCCTGGTTCAGCCAATCCCGGGTTCTTGTTCGGTCATGTAAGGGTCATCCATTAGTTTTGCCGTGTATGGCGTCAGCGGCACAGCTCAGGTTCTTCGGTGGAAACGCGACCTGGCTGTGTCTGTGCCCCCAGTGCCTGGATGCCAGCCGGCCATGGATCTGCTACTGGATCCTGCACGGACTGGAGCTGCTGGACGAGCCCGTGCCCGACAGCCTCGCTTCAGAGTACGCGCCCCAAAACGCGGCTCTTCTCTAGTAGCTGCACTCGGTGGCCGTGTGTCCGAGGCTTTGTAACACAGGCTTGGTAGTTTCCTAAACCCCTTTCCCATTCCGATGACGTACACATACGTCACGTATGTCATCAGTTTTTCTTCCGTTTCCGATTACGTACGTTTACGTTCTCGGAACGGAATCGTTTCCGAACGGAATTGGAAGTAAAAAGCCACGTGGGAGGGTGTGTGGCACAGTTTGGCGCCAGCTGTCGTAGAGCGCGGTCGTGTCGCTACGGTTCTCTCTGGTGAGTACAGTACAATGTCTTTAAAAACAGCAGCACTACGCCTTTCTAAATAAAATTAACGCTCACCGCTTGCGCGTTCCGAGATTCAGCGGTGAACGGGACCCACCCTGCTATTTGCAGACGTCTCAGAACGGGAAAGGGTTAATCAATGAAAGGACTTTAGAACGATTTTCACGTGCATTGTTGTCACACCGCTGTGCTGTGACTGCTGTCAATTTAAGACATGTTGTGGCAGCCATATGATTGGATCTCCTGAAAGTCAAGCATTATAAACTTAACGAAGATTCAACTTCACGTCAGACAGCCTTTGGACACAGCCAAGTTATGTCCGTAATGCATGCACAAGATAAAAGCCACTTGTTTTTTTTATTCATATGGCATAGCAGGCAATATCCACTTGTTAAAAAGTTCCTCTGCAGCAGGGGTCGGTAACTTGTGGCTCTGGAGCCGCATGCAGCTCCTTTAGGACTGTTTCGTGACGTTATTTATTAGGGACCCACCGTTTCGTATTGACGTGCTTTGCGGCTCTTATTTTGGTTGCCGACCCCTGCTCTATAGGCACATTGGGATGGTGGTTTTCGCTATCCAATGCAGTTTTCCACAAGCACTGCAACCCACTCGCACATCATCATTGTCCGTCGTTGGTCACTTCCCCAGGTGCACGTACTCTGATTTGTTTAAAAACGCAAAAATAATGTGGTTATGGACAACGTATAAAGGGGCCATTGCAGTGACCGGAGTGGGTGAGCGACGTAAAATATGATATGCAGTTGTAGCAAGGTTGAAAATATTCCCCTGTAGTACCCGATTTAGCACGGCTAAGATGCTGGCAGTGACAGTAAATTATCGTTTGCGGGCTGCATCGAAGCTGGAGGTCTTGTGTGGCCACGTTCCAAGACTTCCACACTCCGGCTATATATCTAATTATATATATGCCCCATCATAGAATTCGTAGGAGTACAACAAACGCACCGCTGCTACTGATCTATGAATAATTGTATAAATACATCATAATTTAAAGCGTGACATTTCCAAACACTGTATTGGCTCAGCGGTGACGAGTGCTGTCCGAAGCTCGCTTGAGCAGGGAGACGGCGACATTCGACCTGCGATGCTGTGCCGGTGAATCAACTTGCGTTGGGGAGCCGGTGAAGCAACTTGCGTTGGGGAGCCGGTGAAGCAACTTGCGATGCTGGGCCGGTGAAGCAACCTGCGATGCTGGGCCGCGTGCCGTGTGCTGCCGCGTGCAGTGTGTGTGCGTTCCTCAAGCTCTGCCAGTGTCCGGACGGCGGGTTCGGGGGCGGCCCGGGACAGCAGGCGCACCTGGCGCCCACGTACGCGGCCGTCAACGCGCTCTGCATCCTGGGCACGGAGGAGTCGTACGCAGTCATCGACCGGTAGGTAGCCCCACGCTCTCACTCCGCGCCACGCCGTTATCCCTTCCGCAACGCACTGGTAGCCCACTTTTTCACTCCACACCAAACCGGTGGCCCAGGCTTTCACTCTGCACCGCACCGGTATCCCACTCTGCACCGGTAGCCCGGACTTTCACTTCGCACCACACTCGTAGCCTACTCTTTCACTCCGCATCGTAACGTGAGCCCACAATTGAACTCGACACTGTCGCACTGTGGTACGCACTGTGTTGCACCGTGGTATGACACTTTGCCGTGCTGCACTGTGGCATTACACAGGGAGAAGCTGCAGAGTTTCCTGTACCGCATAAAGCAGCCCAACGGAGATTTCTGCATGCACCAAGGAGGAGAGACGGACGTCAGGTAACGAGGCCACCTGGGTTTAAAACCGGGTTCTTGAGTGAAGCGAGTTGATGGTCTCGGGGCTGCATCGGTTTAACTGCCAAGTATGGAAAGTTACTCTCAGTGGTGGGGTGGGTAGGAAAGTGCTGCCCCCTAGCTATGTGGATCAGAGGCATACCTTATTACAGACCGATTCAGACCTACTTGGTCACCCCGTGCCCTTATAAATCTCAACGTTCATCCTCCAAAGTCCCATCACAAAGGAGAAACACACAAAAAAATAGGCAATTTTTTTGTTGCCCGTATTGAAACAGTTGTACGCCGTATGGACCTGAAAACTCAATTTCCCTGTACAAGATTACGGGTAAACCTTATGGATTGACAGGTATGCAGAGGTCATTGGAAGAGATTTTCAGTCGTAGTTCCGTGGTTTCCACTTCCGTTGGCCATTCTCTAATATGAAACGTTGCACTGCTGTGCGAGGGATCCGAATGGATTCTTTGTTTTATGCAGGGCTGAGTGCATTAATAAATGGACCAGTTGCAAGCACGTGTGTTACCTTTGTACTCACTTTGGATGACACATTGAGAAGGGTCACCGGAGTGTGCATGTGCTATGGAGTACGCGAGAGTACATGGCGGACATCCGAATGGATACTTTGTCCCGTGACAATATAGGGATGGCACAATTTGGGAAAAAATGTAGTTAAGAGATATATAGAAAAATATTAAACCACTGTTGACTTCCCATAAAGCGTTCGGTTGGCACGTGGCTTCGAGGGTGATTCTGTTGAGTTTTTTGTTTTTGCTTTATCCACTAGGAGCGCGTACTGTGCAGCCTCCGTGGCTTCCCTCACCTACATCATGGAACCCAAGCTCTTTGAAGGAACGGCCGATTGGGTGGTCAGGTATTGCACCAAAATAATTTCCCGATACTCACCTAACGCACCGATGCGCTGCCATCCGTATCTATACGTGTGCCCGTTTGTGTCTCGTGGTTGATATTGGGGAGCGGCGGTGCAGTGCTAGGAACCCTGGAGACTCGAGTTGGATTCCTACTCACGGTATACCTCTGCACGCGCATGTGTGCGGTTGTGTTTGCCCTCTATCGCTTGTACCGCAGTTGTCAGAACTGGGAGGGTGGCATTGGTGGCGTGCCAGGCATGGAGGCGCACGGTGGATACACGTTCTGCGGTCTCGCCGCCCTCGTCATTCTGCGCAAGGAGCGAATGTTGGATCTGCAGAGACTCCTGGTGTGTACAGTCACCCTTCCTCGTCGTTCCTAGCTGAATGAAACTGCTACGATCAGCTTTTGTAATGTAACGTAACGGTTGTTGATAATAATGCACTTGCGCAGCGCTTTTCACAGCTTAGCTCTGAGCCGGCATCATTGAGATCCTGGGTTCATATTCAGGTGGCCGTCCACTGTGATTAAACTGGGTTCTCAAGTGTAGCGAGTAGATGGCCTCAGCCAGGTCACCAGTTACTGCACAGAAAACCACCACATTGAAATTGGTTCTGCACTAAAGTTGACTAAATTATAGGTCTGAAAACTAAACAAAAATAGCCTTTTGTCTGCCACATGACGAACAATACTTTCAGTGGAAGGGAAAGTGCTGTGCCCGACTGCATACGCCAGTGTTAACTTGAATGGAGCTCAGAAATAGCTCTGTCACGTCCGCTTCCACGAGCCATTCTCTAACGTGAAGGGTTGCACCGCTGTACGAGAAATCTGAACGGCCACGTAATCTCACGACATGATGCTGACAGCAAAATTGAGACAATATTAAAAAGAAGACATTGTTTAAGAAAAGCATTAGATGCTTTGACCCTGCACCAGGGGCCTGAAAGCTGCAGCTCCGGAGAAGCACATGGCTCTTTACAGACTGCTCCATTATGTAATGTTTTTTTTACGTATGTATTCACATGCATTGCGGCTCTTGAAATGTTGCGTTTTGTACCGAATTCGAAAAAAATCATGGCTCTCCTTGTTAATTTGGTTGTCGACCCCTGCCCTGGACAATCGGGCCAGCGTGAGGCTAACGATGATCCATGCTCCTCCTGCTCTCTGCGTATGGTGGCAGCGGTGGGTCGTGAACAGGCAGATGAGGTTCGAAGGCGGCTTCCAGGGCCGTACGAACAAGCTGGTGGATGGCTGCTACTCTTTCTGGCAGGCGGGGCTGCTGCCCCTGCTCCATCGATCCCTAATGAATGAGGGTAAGGCTCGCCTCCGTTCCCCCCCGTTCCCCCCTTCCCCCCCCCCAATACAATCTCTGCCATTCCCTGCCTTGCCACTCAACTCGCACACTGCTGCACTTTATCGTTACCTTAAATGTCATGGGGGAGCTGCCCTGCAGTGTAATGGTCAGCGCTCTGGACTAGCAATCAAGAAGGAGAGGGAGGGAGTGGGGGGGGCTGGGGGAGGTCACCACTTCGATTTCCATCTCTCGGCGCAGCGGTTGAAACGCACTACGGTGTGGTCGATCGACAGGTGGTGTGTGGTGGGGCAAAGTGTGTGTGGGTACGCTAACCTCTTCGAAGAAGTCTGCTCGGCGTGGAAGAGTAGGCCAAATATCCTCGCGAGCTCCATTCGCCAGAGGGCCTTCCATCAGCAGTGTCGTGAGCAAGCATTTGCGGGCCCGCGCCTTTGCCATTACAAAAATGGTCGTGACGCCGTATGGCTCCAGATAGATGTGGGGGATAAAAGCTTTGTCGAGTGGCCCCTGTTGCATGAAGGGGCAAATATTTGCGAGATTAAAGAGAGACGGGCAAGAGACCGATAAAATAGCTGTGGGCAAGAGATGACGGCGAGATAAACAAGAGCGGGATGAGAGAGCTAAGAGATGAGAGGTGCGGATCGGCGATACTTCCTCGTGACGTCACGACGCCACGCAGCTTCACAAAGTCGCATACGATGTCACGTGGCCCATCAGCGCACACTTATTTTATCACGTGACCCACTCGAAAATACAGACGAAGAGCCCTGCACAAGGGCACACATTCAGGGAAGTCATTTCAGTAAACCATCACGGCCAATGCATTTACCATGATCAACCGTGGCATCCTGGGAGTGATGTCGCCAGCAACGTTGCCCTCACATTGCCCCCCATCAGTTTTATCTTTGACTTGATCTCTCAAAAAGCCTCCAAGCGCCGGGCCTCGATTGCTGTGAAGACAGTGGATTGAGCTCATTGACCCGCCCATCTCTGAAGAGGAGCTTCATAGCTCATTGGATTCCTCCAGGCAAAATAAAGATTCTGATTCTGAATGTGTGTGCGTGTGCGCATGTTTTTGCTGTTCAGGGAGTAAGCGCTGAGCTTGGTCCCCTGAGCTGTGGGGAGTGGTAGTGTAGTGGTTAGCACTTTGTGCTACGCACCCGGTGACCTGAGTTCGATTCCAATTCACGGCCAACACTAGTGGCGATTATATGAACCGGTCCTGGGCCTCCCCTGTATGTGTGTACGATGAACATCTTTCGTACCTAACGTAACCAACCGTGCCAATCTCGTGCGATGTGTAACATCACACTACTAGGGAGACAAAGGCGGCTGGGAATGGCGCTCACCACTCGCCCCCCTCGTGTGCTGTGCCCTGCCTTCATAGGTGCTTCTCACTAACATGCACTTGCTCCAAAAGTCGAAGACTATACGGGGGATCTTTGTCTTGTCTTTGTTTACGCTGTTCAGGGGACCAAGCGCTGAGCGAGCAGCGCTGGATGTTCCACCAGGAGGCGCTGCAGGAGTACCTGCTCATGTGCTGCCAGCATGTTGCCGGAGGGCTGTTGGACAAACCCGGAAAGTAGGGCCCTGCCTCCTCAAGTCACCTTCTTACTTTAGTCCTCTGAACAATGGCTCAAATTTCCACCGTCCTGTCCAATTTTGAGCTTTCTTCTTTTATTTCTCTGAACGGAAGCCCCTTCATACCTCGCCTGGCATACAGGGGGTCATGGGTTCGATCCCGACCCTAACGCTGCCTGTATATTTGGCGTTTGCATGTCTCTCTCCCCGTGGTCGCGTGGATTTTTTCTCTGGGTCCTCCGGTTTTTCCCCTCCACATTTAAAATTCACATGTGTTTAGAGTATTTGCTTGCTAAAACTTTCACGTGATGCTAAGCCACTTCCTTGGGCTATCATTTGTCGCCAGGTCGCTTCTGAAAAAGAGCTATATAGCTCAGTGGGTCTTACCTGGTAAAATAAATAAATGAAAGTTTTATATAATAAATATTTTTGTAGGTCCCCTCCTCCTTGAGTCACCTTCTTCTTTACTCCTCTGCCCAATCGCTCAAACTTCCACCATCCTGTCTACTGGACATCTGTGAAAAAGAGCTTCACAGCTCATCGGATTCCTCCAGTATAAATAAAGATTCTGACTCCAAATTGCCTTGGAACCTTCTCTAGAACGTCGACATTTCTCTTTCTTTCCATCCAACTGGAATGTCTCCATTCGATGCCAAAACCCACATCTCAAAACGTCGATGTGCCAGGGTGACCAAAAAACACGAGGCTTGATTCTCAGGGCACTTACTGGCGCATGATTGCGGTTTCTGTTTGAAAGGACAAGAGAACAGGCAGTTCCTCTGTGCCTTTGTCTGAATGACAACGGCATATACTTTATATACTTTTCCTTTTTCAGGCAGTTTTTTTATAAAATGTGTATTTTTTGTTGTTGTAATTCGTACTTGTGTGCCACTGCCAAACACAGCATCGCCAAAATAGCTTTCATTTATCGCCAAATAACAAACGTCTTAAAGCGCAGCTTTCATCCCAGGGGACCCCCTGATGGCAGCTGTCCCTCCTGCGGTGCCATTTTACTAGTGCCCACAGCCTCTTGCAAGCAAGCAGCAGGGGCTTGCGGATACCGGCGTGCGGGGGTTTGTGTTGATTACTTTGCAACTGCCGTTGCAGGGCGAGGGACTTCTACCACACGTGCTACTGCCTGAGCGGTCTCTCGGTGGCTCAGCACTTCTGTAAAGACGGCTTATCCAAGGATACCATCGTTGGGAAGGAGAGCAATGCCCTGGTAGGTGACGTCTGTGTGCGTGTGCACAGTGGCTTTGGGCGCTGGGAATACGAACCCAGAGAGCAGAGTTCGATTCCCGGCCATGGATCAAAATCGGTGGCGAGTCACCTTCTCAACTGGCCCCTGCTGCGGTGTGCAAACAGCACTGGGGAAACAAAGATAACCGGGCCTGGTGCTGGCTACATGGCCCCCTCATATGCTATACTTCACCACGCTGGTTAGTGCGGGTTGGTAAGGCAGAGGGGAGTAAGGGTTGGGACTGGTTAAGCTATCATTTGCCAGTTATGTTAGCCATAGCAGGAAATCGAACTTGGGTCACCGGTTTCATATCGCAATGCCGCTAAACCCCGGCACCACCACTCCACCCTTGATTGTGCTTCACCTCAAAGTTGGTGCAAAATGTGGCTCCCAGCCTATTGACCGGTACGTCTAGGACCAGTCATGTAACTGCCTGTGCTCCGCAGACTGCACAGGCTGCCAGTGCAATGGCGCATACCTTCAAGGTCGGCCTCTTGACCTATAAATAACAATACTATCCTTTTATATTGTGTAATTCGTGCTAATAGCATCCCATAATGCTGTGAAGCCCTCCACAACCAGGGACCCTGCTACCTGAAGGATAGTCTTCCTCCCGACTGCCCTTCCATCTGCCAACAAGGGATTGCTAAACATCCTGAGGGTGCAATTACAAACACGGCTCCCACCCTGTGCATTCTCTACGTCATCGAATAAGGGACTGTCTGACCGTCCAGAGTAAAAAAAAACAATTAAACCATTACCCGCCTAACCTGGCATTTACAGATGAAGACTAACATAGCATCGCCAAAGTTATGGTTTAAATTAACGTGGTTATTATTTTCATTGCATGTTTTTCAAAAGATGTATTGGAATGATAATGCATTGGACCCAGGCGCCTTGTCTTAAGAAAGGCACCTTGAAAGAAATTAAGTTTAGATGGATTTCTTCATGTGGGCAATAACGCCCTGCTGCTGCTGCTGCTGCTAACCGTCACCGCTGCGACTCGCCTCTTCCCCTTCGGCAGCAACCGACCCACCCAATCTACAACATCGACCCCGACAAGGTGGCCAGAGCTCTCGTCCACTTCTCCAAGTTGGGGATTCCGACTCGCATGTGCCCTGCTGACGAACCGGACAAGTTGAACCCCTGACGCAGACACTGACCCTCCCCCCCCCCACCGCCCCCTTGCCAAAGTCAAAGCAACACTCCCAACACCCACTCTGGCTATACGGCCCTCGGGACACTAGGATGGAACATGGGCTGTCAGGACCGCGGCGTGCAGCGCGGCGAGTGAAAAGTGGCGAACGAGCGAAATATTGCTTCCGCAATGGGTGCCGCTACTCTCGGGCAACGTTCGGAGAAAATCCTCGCTGGCAATTGTCACAGGCGACAACGTTTGCTGTGGCACAGCTATGGTAACCTGTTGCAAGCAAGATAGGTAAGAGAGATGGAGAGACGAGGTACAGATTAATGGTCATGTACAGGCGGTGTGTCATGATGCCATGTGACTTGTCATGACGCCACAACGTCCACTGACGTGAAGTCATGTGACTTGCCAGCACACTTTGTTCCTTAAAAAATATGAGAACCCAGTTCTAGGGAATATTTGTCGAATTCATTGCATTTGCTATGATCATCTGTGGCAACTTGGTACCAAAGTGGCACAGAGTGTTGGGGTTCTGTCGAGCCAATGAAAACTGTTGAAAAGTGTGGCTGATGAACAGCGATTGGTCAACAGGGCACACACCTTTTAGCAGTCATGTGACCTCTGTAACCTAACGGGAAGTTGTTAATGTTGGCGCCTGCTAAGTGGAACAACGATCGGATATGTCCATGTTTGGGTGACGCTTTTTTCTCCCCGATGGAAAGTGGCGCAGCAGCTGTTGCAAGTGACAATTAGAAGCAACGATTCCTGCTCAAAATTTGCCCTAGCGTGTTATGGCCTTCGGCGACGCTTCTATCACAAATATTGAATTGAAAAACAATGTTCTCAGTGTACTTGCCTTATTAAAAATTGGAAAAGAGCATCGTACTGTGACGGAATTTGAGTTTCTCAACGGATGCGATTCACGCGGGAAGCGGCGTTGTCGTGGTTCGCATACCGCAGTCACGACATTGGCGACCCAGGTTCGATTCCTGAGCATGGTGTGCAAACAACCGGTCACAGCTGGAATTTACTCCTCACCTGGGTCTCTATATCTGGACCCAACAAATGAGCACCCAGTGTCGTCATTTAACGACATCCAAAATCAGGAAGGCAAAAGGTGACCGAGCATACCTGTGCTGACATTAATAGGCGCTCTCGTGAACAAAGCTTTTCCTGGCATTGGCTTTATGCAACAACATTGTGGCATCCTAGTGTTCGGAGGGCCTCCGAAATTTTCTTTGCGTCGTTTTACAAAATAAACGCGCAAACTGAGCTCTGATTTCTGAAGCGCAAGTCCCTTCTGCTTGATCATGCAATCTTTTTACAGCGGTTCAAATCTTGAAACAGTTGCACCCGAGCCGTGCTGTTGACGTTAAAAGTACTTGTTCAAACATTAGTCCGTAAGGCCAATCGGCTGAGTCTTGGAAAAGTTTTTATTGTGTCCATTATTAAATCAACCAAAGTGTCTCATCGCATAACCCCAGACAGGCTGCAAGAGTCTCAACGCCCACCTGCAAGCGACAGGGCAGGACAGCGGCTACAATCGGCATCCCTTCAGTCGGCTTAATGTATGCAGCATGGCCCCACGTGACAATAGAAAAAAAAAACATTGTGAAACTTAAGAGGAACCGACACATTCCGCCAATAACACTGCCCCACAAAGGAAATGCTATAATAGGTGACATTGGCCACCCTTCTTCCCTGCCACTGCCCGAAAGCAGGCTTGAGGGTTAATTGGAAATAGCAACGCTTACATAGGGGTTTAGATGGCCAGCCAGGAACCTCATTGGGTGCGGAATGAACTTGTCATCCCGTCGGGAAGTGAATTATAAGGGGCGACCGTTCGCGATGCGTTCTGTTGAAGTTCGCCACGGGTGCAGTGCAGGTCGTCTTGTAAATCATCGCCCACGCGTACATCAGATGTCCACTTGAGTGGGAAGTGACACGTTGCGGTTTGTGTTTTGAGTTGATCCACAAATGTGACACGAGGCTCGACCTTCTGTGAGCAGCTCTGAAAATGGACCTCTCTTTGTGCCTTAACATCGTTTAAAATATCTGGGATGTAATGGATGAGAAAACCTGAAGTAAGTGAATAATGTCAATTGCACCGTTGCACTCCATTGCCCTTTTTGATGATGGCCATATTGTGAAAGTCGACCTGATGAGCTTTCTATTGTTTCTCAAATTCGGCCTCAATGGCCGATGCTGCCATCAACCCCTTGAGTAGAACTCACATCGTCGTCATCTTCATCATACATAAAGGGCCAGGTTCACGTGTTCACGAATCGGCCGTCAGAACTTCACATAGTCTTGGCGATTTGTCCCATTGTTGGCAATGGAGATGAGTTTTTACCAAATATGTTGGGAGGGAAAGAATACAATTGGCAAGACGTGATTCTGGATCCGACGTATTCGCTCTAACAAATGTTAAACTTGCAGCATCATTGTGTCATCGCCTTTGGCTGGAATACTGTTTCGGTTGACGCTTGCGTTAAGAGTCCGCAGGTTTAATTTTTCAGCAATTCGACAATAAAATTGAAATGTATCGGCTTTTGTTCTACGTTACCTGCCTGTGTTGGAAGCTTTTGTATGTTGTGCTCGGGCTATCGCGGTAGATCTACACTTTACTCCAAAGTAGTTTCCACCCCAGATTAACTATTACATATAAATACAGAACTTATATTACATCTCCATCGGGTAAATGCTTTCATCTGTTTGCCAGTCTATTCATGCTTTGTTCTATTTCTCTCCATTTCATTGGTAGGGTTGGGTGGATTGTATATTTTCAAAGGTGTTCCAATTCTAGATACTGCTGTTCCAGGACCAGTCATTACCAGTGTCTCGTGCAGTGGTTCTCGACTCTGTCGACATGGTGCCCACCCTCCCCCTATCAAGCAAGGCCATTGGGCCCCCCATGCCCCCTCCCAGGTTACTCAAGCCACAGTATGTTCCCAGGTGCATTCAACATTTCTCCTGCACGGTGACCATGCCAAAGCCTGCGTTCCCCCCCGAAAGGGCACGACCTATGGGTTGACAACCACCGGCTATAGTGCTGTCCTGTAGACTTCCTGCGAACTCGAATTTTCAGTGGAATTATTTAGTTTTTTTTTAAGGGATTGGCCGCAGAAAGATAAGGGCTACTGAAGAGTATTGGCACAAGACGGAGGAAAGTGGCAACAAATGACGAAATATGCAGTGGCCACCTAAAGGCTATTTGGTCATGGATCCTGATGATGATTTAAGGGTGCTGGTAATTTAAATCATTGATAAATTAGCTCGATAGTATTTCTTTTACATGATCACATGAAGCGATGTTGATGTTGCGCTTTGAGATTAATTTCAAGAGGAATAGTCGTTGATGGCGATAATGTGGATTTAATTTGGGATTCAGTACGCCACTGCGTATGAACTCAAACTCGATTTAAGGTACGTATTTATGTGAAGTTCAATCATGTAGTTTAAGGTCCTTTGCATTTGGTTCACAGTGAGCCTGTTGAAATGTGAGAAAAAAAATCCCTGCTGTAGCCGCCAGTCATCAGACGCAATCAGCCCAGGTGGCCTTGTGGATCAGTCCAGAAGGAAAACAAAGCCAAAAAAAAAAGTCATTGCAAATTACATAAATCGTTTTTTATTGAAATTTTAATATCGTGTCATCATGTCGCGTTGTGTGCATTTACAATAGCGAAATCGCCGCCTTCCGAGTCGACCATCGCTTTTTAGCAGGCGTGGCCAGGTATGGGACACTTTGCCCACTTTTTAGCGATCACAATCGTCGACCGTACGACCCAACGTCGGACGCACGCGACGACGACCGCTACTTGAAATAATTTAAAAGTTTTTTTCTTTCTTCACTCGGCCGAACTCCACCCGACGGCAAACTTTTCAACCGACTCCTCGGCGACCCAACTGGCGAATGCAAAACTCTGCTCGCGAGGAGAAAATATACATAAATTAACGGAAATTACAATTAAACGGAAATTTTACAAGACAAGCATATGCCGTCTCCGGCACACCCCTGCCACACCGGTACTTAAAAGGGGCATGTGTTCAAGTTCAATTAAAAACAACCACGAAGGTCCTTCGCATCGACGTGCGGCGATCATAGATGACGTGGTGGCTAGGCCATGATGGCAAGTGTTGATACGTCCCAGACCTGCGTTCTAAGGGTTAGGGCAGCCACCTCTGATGTGCAAAAAAAAAAAAAAACGGGGATAAAAATACCTCGCAATATCTCGCAAGAGTTGAGGAAGTTCTACATAAATACATCGTCTTGAGTGGTGTATTATTACAATAAAAGACTTGGGCGATTTTGCAGGACGGCTACTTCAAAGAGAGCACAATCCTGGGAAACATTAGGTGCAGGTGGCAATCGTAGTTCTCGAGCAGAGACATGATCAACTGGAGGAACCATGTGTTTCTAGGCTACTCGGGGTGGGTTCACCCCAACACAGATTGTTGATCGACCTTGCGCACACTCTAAACTGATGAGTGCAACGGACTCGCCGTGTTTTGCCGTCGCGTCTGTGAACACGTCCACTGCGGAGATGGAAGAGTGAAATCGGCTCGGGTGTAGGTGCCAAGTGGATTAATACATCGCAGTTAAAATGAGGGATGGCGACGGCTTGGGAAGGCCTTCATCCACCTCCGATTAGCACTGTTGGCTACGTACGGTGCAAAAGAAGTTCAGCATACATATGTCCAGCAGTGGTTTTGATAATGGCTGATGATTACGATGATGACAGTGAAACTGTTTCTGACAGACGGTTGCGTTATGCGCGGAACCACGTCACCGCAGAAACCCGCACGTGTGAATTTCAGTTAAGAAATGCTGGGTTTTGTAGCAACGATGCGCGAGTGTAATCCAGTGACTTGGAGATGGCGGTTGGTGGATCACGCAAAGATGAAGCACTGGGCGTCATCATTATTGGAGGCTACCCGTGCAAAACTTTAAAGTATTCTCTGGGCACTTACGTCACAACTCAACACACTCAAGAATAGCAACAACAAAAGAATCGGTCCATCTCGCGGGCAGGACTCTCCTGTAAGAGTCATGAGACTCAATTATCAAGTTCAAAGAATGAACATGCAATGTCAAAGTCCGTTTATTCACTCTCGCGCTAAACTCGCACAACACCGGGTGCTGGGCTCCTGGCTTCTCAGTGGCGGCCTTGGGACCGGAATAATGTGAATCACAGCCAATCAGCACGTCGCAATTATTTGCGGTAAAGTGTGGGTACTCCAACCTCCGCCGAGACATTTGGCCAGCATGAACGAGTGGCCAGGTACCCTCTGGAGGGGCTTCCGAGAGCTCCATCTAGTGGAAGCTCTTTCACCAACAGTGGCGTTTAAGATGTTAACGGTGGCTATAAGATGTTAACCACCTCGCCTGGTATACAGGAGTTTGCGGGTACGATCCCGACCCTGACGCCTCCTGTATATTTTGAGTCAGCATGTCTCTTTCCCTGTGGTCACATGGATTTTTCTCTGGGTCCCCCGGTGTTTCCATCCACACTTAGAAACATGCATTTAGAGTATTCACCGGCTATAAATTTCCACATAAGCCGTCGTTGAGCTATCATTTATGGCCAGGTCGGTTCTAAAAAGAGCTATAGAGCTCAATGGGCCTTACCTGGTGAAATAAATATAGTTTAATAGTTATTTAGTTTAATTGCATGGGACTGAGCTCACAATTCTATACATTCTTGATTTGAAGCTTTCGTGACCGCAGGAATCCATACTCTTTGGTTCTTTCGGGCGCAACACAAGCGTCCATCATCAGGTGTGTTGCGCCCGAAACGTCGTGATTTATTTTATCCTATACAGGTGCCGCCTGCTGACGGGAGCTGCGCGTTTACGTAGCGGCTTCGCTCTCTTTGTAAACCTGCCCAGTCTTAACGTCCGCGCTCGTTAAGCCTGCTCACGGCACAATGTATATCCCACTTTTGCCGTGAGTTCACAGGTGACAATTAAAACCAGATCAGCTACGTTTGACCCTGTTTAAAAGTAAATAAACTACACAGACCTGTTGCCGTCTAATCCTCCATTATGCCAACAACGCAGTGCGGTAATATATTTTCAAGGGCTATTCTGTCCATTATGTACGCATGTTGAACTTCTTTATCATCGTACGGAGCCAACCGCGCGAATCGGAGGTGTCCTGTCTGCACATGGGATATGCTCTTAAATACAAATAAATGCAATGAATTTAATTTAATTAACCAGATCACAGCTCACTGACACCCTCTTTTCTGCTCACACATCGGAGCCCCGCCAGGGGCTCTGCTGAGCATGGCCGTCACGGGTCAATGTGCGCCAAGTTGTTTTTCCACCGCAAATAAGCAGAGCCGTGCTTACCGACGTCACACACAATGTGTAACGTCGAGGCGCATTTGGGTGACAGTGACGCTTTAAGTTCACACGCATAGATATAAAAAAGACAAATATCCCCCATAGAGCCTGACCAGACTGTTGGGGCAAGTGCTGTTCGCGAGCACCTACGAAGGCCGGAATGGCACACGAGCGGGTGGGTCGCCAGCACCAAGGCCCGGCCGCTTTTGTCTCCCTAGTGGCGATGTTTTTACACACTGCACCGTCTGAGTCAACCTTAGGGGAGGCCCAGGACCGGTTCAGATAATTGTCACTGGTGTTGGCCGTGAGCGGGCATCGAACTTTGGTCGCCAGGTTCATAGCACATCGCGCCAACCACTACACTACTGCTCCCCATACAACACGTAGATACACACTCTCACATACAAACTTGCAATTAATCAAATTTAGGCTTGATGTTAGATGCATTGAATGTGTCATTAGCCCCTAGCCCTGCCCAGTCCTGAGCCAGATTCAGATGGTTCATGAGAGGCAGTGTAGCAGAGTTTGGTTCTGGCTTGGCTTGATAAGCAGCCGGTGGAAATCCACCGTACGGTGATTGGCTCTGTGCTGCCTCCGCTTGGACGTGTCGGTGAAAAAGGGGCATGAGGGGTCGTGTACTCCTTCGTAAGGCAGACCTGCGTAAATGTAGGAACGCAAGGAGGGTCAAGTCGCAGGTATCGTTCACCCCCCACATTCGCGGCGTTCTGAATAGCGGGACCGCTTTTACAGCGGGCGTCGGGCGTCTGCGTTAACGTCGCACGAATCCCGACGGCCGTCGTCCACGCGTGCAAAACCGAATCGCTCTGACCGCCAAACCAACCGACCGGACCCGGCCCGCATTGGTCCAGCGCGGGTCGACGGGTAGAGGGAGCGGGTGCCGCCGTGCCGGAGGCAAAAAAAAAGCGATCGTCGGGGCTTCGGGACTGGCGGCCGCGGGGCAACCCCCGACGCAGAGACGCCGCGTCAGGATGATGCTTGCCCGGCGGCAGCGAGTGGTCGCGGTGGTGGGTCGGTCGCGGAGGTCGCGGAGGTCGGGGGGGGTCGCTCGGGGCTCAGGCGGTGGCGGCCTGCGGCACCTCCCCCTCGGACTCGGAGCTGGAGCCGGAGCCGCCGTCAAAGGCGGAGACGGTGCCGCCCTTGGAGTTGGTGAAGCGCGCGCCGTCGCCGGTTGCGGAGGAGGCCGGGAACGTGGTCGACTGCGAGGCCTTCACCTTCTCAAGCACGCGCACTGCCGCCGCGCCAATCGGCAAAAGGCGACGCACGGACGGCGCGGCCGAACAAAGCCAACGTCAAAAAGCGGTGATAATTTAACTTTTTGGAATAATAATAATTATTATTTACCAAGGAAAGCCAAGCCGAGCCCGAAGACTCTTTTTCATGAGGGTTGCTGCATTGGGGACGTATGGCCCCACACCAATGACATTGTTTTTTTTAGCTATGGAGACTACCAGAGAATATCATGCAGAACAAGGGGATATAATATACAAATGCCGCACAGGAGAGCATTCCCGAGTCAGGAATTGAACCTTATGGCGGGACCCCGGTTTCCCGAATAAACGGAAGTCAAAATCGTAATTAATTTATTTTTGGCGACTCTGTCCCACCGCGCACGTAAACGCTATGACCCACCTGGCACGGATCATTCTGTTGTCATGTCGTCCAAGCCCAGCGAGGACGAATGCGCAGAAGAAACAAAACTTTTAAACTTTGATTAGAGCATCGTGTAGAGCTCGTCGAGAGGAATAGATTGCCGTATCGTTCACCTTCAACAGACATAAAATGACGTCGCAACGCAGTTTACGCGAGAGCTGGTGGCTTATGGGACCCCAGGGGGTCCTGCCATGAGGTTCAATTGAACGCAGGCCCTCCTCGCTGTCCAGGCGTGAGCGTTCCTACCGCGCCACCCTGCCGCCAAAGCTAAACTAGCAACAGTGGAGATCAACAGTCCAGCACGACGACGACTATGATGGCCCAGCGAAGATCAGAAAAGCGTGACTTCCCACACCTCCGATTAGGACGGTTGACTACGTACGATTGTGGCAGAAGTTCAACATGCATAAGTACATTAACCTTGTGGACACGGAAAATAATATATAATTAACAGACGAAGGCTGAACTAATTTGTGAGACCGAGCGAGCCGAGTAAGACCAAACATGGCAATTGGCTATACAGGTAAATAAAAGAAAGACCGAGTTAATCGACTGTCTGTATTGGGGATAGAAAAATTGTGCACCCCACACACCAATATTTTTTGAGTAGACCACATGAAGCGAATGATTAAATTGAATCCGCCGATGAAGACTTGACTGATCTTCCACATGTTATCGACTGGACTGAGACTTGTCAACACAATATGAAAAAATGTTGACTAAATTAACACTGCTCAAGACCGGGCATGCAACGACACATCATTTCATCGTTTGGAATAGATCGCGATGGGTTCAGGATGCGCGCATCGAATTGTACGTTCGAGACCAAATTAATATTCACGCAATTGAGAGGTTGGCTTTACATTTAGGTTAAGACCACGAACAAAACCTGTACAAATAAGAAGGAAAATAATCGATGTCAACGATGCTATGAAAACGAGAGAGATCACGAACTGTTTCTCAATTAAAATGGTGAGCCAGACTTGTGATTATGCATCAAAACGGCTGGGCAGGGTAAGTGAACACGTGCCTATATCACGTCGCCACTTCCAAAAATGATTCCGTGATGCACGGCAACGATCTGGTGGAACGACCACGCGGGGCCTGGATACTCACCCTTCTCTCCGATACGTGTTTGGGTTGCTCCGTGCATTGTTTGGCACGATGTCCGACGTTTCACTCCACGTGCTGGGAGCTTCTTGGGGAACTGAGAAACTGAAGAAGGTCCCAGCAACGAGGAGTGAAACGTCAAAGACAATCGTGCCAAAAAAAAATATACCGTGGTTAAAACCCACAAATGAAAACCAAAACGTCGGAGAGCTAGGCGGGGAAACGGCCGTGAGTGAGGGCCCCCCCCCCCCCCCCCCCCCCGAGTCAGCAGCGTTACTCACCCTGCTGCTCAAGGAGGTTGTTCTGTCTCTTGAGGTCGTCGATGTCCTGCTGGTGGGCGTGGTTTTTCCGTCTCATGTACTGGATGTACTCCGTTGCTTTGTTGAGGATTTGCGCACGGGACGCCTGCCAATTGTGGCACACAGGGGGAGCGGGGGGGGGGGTCAGTGCGACAGGTCATGCGTACAGTCTGGCTAAGACCCCAGCGACACCGGGCCAAGTTTTTTTTTTATTCATGGCGAGCGGCTTACGAATCTTTTGGCCCGGCAGTCGGGATACTTTGGCGAATATACAGACAGCGTTTCGGTGACATCACCGGGAACTCAAATCCTACATGGATTACCATCATCATCATCATCAACCATAATCAATCCACTACTGGATAAAGGCCTCACCAAGGCATCACCATCTATCATGGTCGTGCAATGGAACAGCAATCCACCCTCACACAAACTTATTTCATGACTATTTCGTTCTCCTCTCGGTGCGTTCCATCCTTTGGCTGCCACTGTCTTTATTCTCACCACCGGCGATCATCGCCTTCCAGTGACATGTCCTGCCCAAGCCGCGGTGGCGGTGATGTTAACTACCTGACCTGGCACACAGGAGGTCGTGAGTTCGATCCTGACCCTGACGCTTTGTATGCCTGGAGTTTGCATGTTCTCCCCGTGGTCGTGTGGATTTTTCACCGGGTCCTCTGGTTTTTCCCTCCACATTTAGAATCAACATGCGTTTAGAGTATTTGGCTGCTATAAATTTCCATACAATAAGCCACGTCGTTTAGCTATTATTTGTGGCCAGGTCACTACTGAAAAATAAGCTAATAGTTCAGTGGGCATTACCTGTTAATTTTTTCTTTAAGTTGACGCAATGGTGAAAATGTATTCTTTAACTTGTATATGTTCTCTGATTCATGTGTTCCTCTTTCTGTCGTTCAGTGTAATTCCAAGCACCCAACTCTCCATGCTTATTAGTACGCTTTCCAGCTTTTGTTCCATTCTCTTTGTTACTGTCCACGCTTCTGATCCACAGCTCACCGATTCCGCAGTGTGAGAGGATTGCGTTCGTGGAATTACACTGAGAGACAGGAAACGCACCTGAGCTTACGACATTAGACTAAAGAGACCGGACATCATTCGAACTGTAAAGGATAGCAAGTTGGGATGGACAAGACACACGTCGCTGGAAGGGATGATGGCAGACGATCACGACCAAGGGATAATGAAAGAACGATGGCTAGGGAACGTAACGCTTCCAAGGGGACGCCCAGTGCTGAGATGAAGCAATGAAAATCAGCTCGGGCACGCGCACACGAGGATGCCGACTCGACTGTCGCATCGCACAACTGCGAGAGATGGCGACGACGGCAGCGGCGGCGCTTTCATCCAGCAGTGGACTGACCGAGGCCGACGACGACGATGACGACGAAGAGGTGATAACGTACATAAGCGTGTCGTAGTGTCACGGCGAGAGTGTGTCTCTGCCTCGCCCGTCACCCACCTGACTGCCGACCCCCCCCGACCGGCGGCCCCCAAGCGATCCTGCGTGCGAGCAAACCTTCTCTCCCTGCAGCGAGGGCACCGAGTCCCTGAGGCTGTGGAAGCTGTCCTTGATGTGGTCTCTCCGCTTGCGCTCCAGGGCATTGTGGTGGGCACGCTTGTCCGCCTGTATGGACAGACGACAGCCGCCATTAGCCGCTGAGTGGCGGTGTGACGTAACCGCGGCGCATGTGCACGCGGTTGCAGGCTGTTTGCGCGTGTTACAGATTGTGCGTGGGTGGTGGTGGCTACGTGTGCGTGTAGTACGAAGACAAAGAACCCCCATATAGCCGAGCCGGTTATGGACCGTTGGGGCAAGTGCGAGCAGCACCTATGAATAAAAGACAACGAAGATCGCCCGTAGAGCCTGAAACAAACTGTTGTGGCAAGAACTGTTAGTGAGCACCTTATGAAGGCCAGCACAGCACACAACGGAGAAGTGTGGTTAGCACCATGCACGGTCACCTTTACACACCGCACGAGATAATCATTTAAGGCCACATCAACCTATGGGAGGGCCCAGGGCCGGCTCAGATATTCGTCACTGGCATTGGCCGCTCGAACTCGCAACCCATATACACGCGCGCACACAAGCGCACGTGTACATGTGTAAATTAGTGGTCCAAATCGGCTTCTAATGCCAAAGGGCAGCGGCATCCCACTCATAGCAGAGCAGTTGCTGAGCAGTGGTCACACCCGCAGCGCAAGCGTGCGTTACTTAACACGGCGCTCGACACGCACACAAACGGACACACACGCACGCAAACGGACGTGTAATCTGGCCGGGCGGCAGTGAACACTCAGAGAGCAAAGTAAATCGAAAGAAAAAAGTAAGACGAGTTAAACGACAGGGGTCGAGTTAGAGTTAGGGACAGGGCTCGTTTTGGGTCTGTTGGCAAGTTTGGTCAGGGTTAGGGATAGGGTCTGCTTGGCTCGTGTGGTTACGGATAGGTGTAGGATATGGTTGGCTATTTTGGATTGTTAGGGATAGGGCACGCTTGGCTAGCGCTGTTCAATGTTGAGTAGAGCAACGGTCTGGTTGGCAAGTGTGGCAAGCGTTAGATACGGGGCCTGGTTGGTTAATTTGGCTCGGGGTGAGGAGAATGCCGAGTCTGGTCAGACTTAGTGACAGGATATGTTGGCTTAACTGCAACTCCGATTAGCGTGGTTGGCTCCGTACGGTGTGAAAGAAGTTCAATATATACACATACAGAGATATGGCGAGAGTTTGCAAGGATACGTGTGGATAGGGTTAGAGATTTTGGAGTTATAGGGCTGTGGTCTTGTTGGCTCTTGTAAACAGGGGTTATGGGTACGGCCAGTGTGCTTTGTCCACCACTCGTTTTAAGTCAAAATTCAGCGAGGGTTACTAAAACGTTCACGAGTGGACGTTTCTGTCAAAGCATCAATTTAAAACGTAAAAAAAAATATATATTTTTTAATTTTAGCAGATAAGGCTCACTGAGCTACGCAGCTTTCTTTCAGAAGCGACCTGGCCACAAATGATAGCTCAACGAAGTGGCTCATCACGTGGAAATTTGTAGCAGGCAAATGCTCTAAACGCACGTTGATTTTAAATGTGGAGGGAAAAACCGGAGGACCCGGATAAATATTCACGCGACCACGGGGAGAGAGAGCATGCTAACTCCAAAAATTACAGGCGTCAGCATCGGGATCGAACCCACGACCTCCAGTGAACACGCCTCGCCGCCACGGTGAGGCGTGTTCACGAGGCCGCACCTTGCCGATGATTCTGTGAAGTTGAAACTAGGTCGAGGTCACCTTGGTTAATTAACAAATGCTCACATTTGCTACGTGCGTGTGTCAACGGACGCCCCCCGTGGACACCGTTGCTAATGAGACGTTTCACTTTTAAGGGATTTTCCAGCCGAAATATTCTGAACGATAACATAAAAATATATATATATAAACGTTAACACGAATCTGGAAGACATGGCCAAGAAGTGAACGTAATGAATGTCACTTCTTGTCGGTTATTAACAACAAAATGTGCTTGCTGAGACAGTGGCCAAAATGTCCACGTTATTCTGACACGGAGCTCTCTGTCTCTCCATTAGTTTTGAAGGAATGAGAAAATGAACGGTTAGTAATTCAATAGAAGATTTCACAAACGGTCTGGGAGTTAAGAACCAACTCTTTTGCCACAGTGTGCGGGATTTTAGTTTTTTTTTTGTTACACAGGGTTTTCCCATCAAACCTGTCGCGAGGATCACGCAAATCAAAGACCGGTGGTGATGTCAGCTGCAGTGGCTGGTCAGCTGTTCCAAAACAACAACTTGCTTAGGGGAAGCATGACTGTACACATTTTCAACCGTGAACACAACAGACGCGAGCGCAGTATGCTGTGGAAGTGACAGGAACATACAGACTACATGCGTGTGAACAATTAAAATGCACCATTAACAATCGCACAAAGACAAAGATCCCCCATATAGTCTGAACAGACTGCTGGGGCAAGTGCTGTTAGCGAGCACCTATGAAGGCTGACACGGCACACGAGGCCGTGGGTGTCCAAGCACCACGCCCGGCCGCCTTTGTCTCCCCAGTGGCGATGTTTACACACCACACCAGGTACTCATTCAAGGCCGAGTTTTTTTTACTGCTTCATGAGGGTTATCATGGTAGTTGCTGTTTCCTTATATCCGTAACGTGCTCTTATAAAAAAATTGCCTTTTCCTTCCTGCCACCGGTGTTACGTAAAGATGCGTTGCTTATGTGAAAGCTGTGCTTATATTTCAGATGTGATAATATCTAGCCCGATACTCTACACGGGGGGTGAAACCATTCACTACCCCAGAACGGCCACAATGGGCAACACAAACTGTTGGGACATTGTGGTGACTGTGCCAGCCTCTCGTGGCAGCAATCTGGTGCACGTCCATACATTAACAATGAAAACTAAAGCCCATTGTCAATCCACTGCTGGATGAAGAGCCTGACCATACTTCACCACCACCACCACGCTGGCCTGTGCGGGATTGGTGAAGTGTGGTGGGGGCAGGGTTGCTCCGTACGACCAGCTCAGATGTCACTGAACACCGATGTCGGCTGTGATCAGCAATAGAACTCGTGGTGGCCGAACTCGTGGTGGCCGAGTTCATAGTGCAACGAGCTAGCCGCCTGCATCGCCGCTCCTCCACCAGCCCAGCCCAGCCCACCCCACATACACGCGCACATCAACAGCATGTGATGTGTCGTGAACTTTTAGGAGTCCACATTACAACCCCACCCCCCCCCCCCATTGACACACCACGTGCGGTATAAGGCAGTGCAAGAGACGTTTGCAATACTGCACGTGTACAATACTGCACGTGTACACAGGCGTCCTTCCCATGGGGTATCTATAGCTGCTGAAAACATTACGTCACCGGCAAGCGGCTCTTTCACGCAATCCGCGCGTTTGTGTGTGTGTGGCCTCCCTTCCTTGTTTGTATTCACGTACACAGAGACGCGTAGGCCTTTTATCTGTCTCTCTGTCCGTGACAATAACGTGGCCACAACACCCCAGTGCCGAAGCCAGCGGCTGCCCCACGACGCTCAATTTCAAAAACTACCATACTCGGAAGATGCATTTATAACTGGAGGAATCCGATGAGCTATAAAGCTTGACTTAAAGCTTTGGTGACTGCAGGAATTCATATTCTACGACGACGTTTCGATCACAACACAAGCAATCCTGATGACGATCGCTTGTGTTGTGATCGAAACGTCGTAGTTTTTGGTTATTTTCTTTGAACCATCTACGCGACTTTACCGAAAGACCCGAAGAATAGCTATGAAGCTCTTTTGTTCACAGATGTCAAATCGGGGCACGGGGTAAGAACGTTACAACAACAAATACAAATAACACGATAGGATTGCAAAGTGCAAGAAAGGTCAACAAATCATCGAAATTTTGATTTAAAGCTTTCGTGACTGCAGGGATTCATATTCTTGGTTCTTTCGGTAAAGTCACGTAGCAGGGAAACAATGAAGTAATAATAAAAATATATTGTTTATTTTATTGTTTCCCTTCTACGTGACTTATATTGTTTTATATTTTTATTATTTTATTGTTTCCCTTCTACGTGACTTTACCGAAAGAACCAAGAATATAAATAATCGAAACACAAACAAATACAACAACGAAACCATCCCCATCCTACCAGACAAAGCCCACTGAGATATTAACTTATTGTTCAAAAGTGACCTGGCCACAAATGATAGCTCAGCAAAGTGGCTTATCGTTTGGACATTTATAGCACCCAAGTCCAGTCCATTTGTAGTAAACGTTACAAGAAGCCTAGGGCAGTCTTGATTTGAAGCTTTCGTGACTGCAGGAATCCATACGCTTTGGTTCTTTCGGTAAAGTCACGCTTGTGTTGCGATCGAAACGTCGCGATTTGTTTTATTTCTAACTACGTGACTTGACCGAAATAACCAAAGAGTAAGCCATGGGCAGTTGAGGCCTCCACAGCAAGTGGTGGCATCATCAGTGGACTATGAACGAGGATGTTACCAGCCCGGATGGTAGGCAACTGCTTCAAATAATGGACATCCGTGTAAATCGGCGGGGTTTAACATCGACAGTCCAAAAACATTAAGGGAGATAATACAATAATAATAATAATTCACAGCTGTTTCTCAATCCACTGGATGCAAATCGGGGGCCTTCCGACACTCCCATTGTGGAGTTGTCTATCACGGGATTAAGAGACAACGGGCAAATCTTTCTCAGTAACATTTTTCGAAAGAGAGATCTCACTGGGATAGAGCTTGGTTCAATAAAAATACCACCAATAAGCATCGACGCATAATTAGGATAATTACGTGACGCTCAGCTATCAGCACCACCCGAGCTGCGATATCAGCACCAAAACGTCTGTAAAAATGTTATTCCGTGTCAACAGGGAATATTGCACATTCCCATGACAGGTGCAGTCTTTCCAAGGAATCGCACATCAAGGTTATCCACTTTTATCAACACATCCGATTATTTATCCATAATTACCCATACTTCAGTTTATCTGAAACAACAACCCATCCTATTAAACGTCAAATATTATCTGTCAATAATTATACCCACCCAAATATCTGGCATATATACGTCAACACGTGTTCTCAAATAATACACGTCCGATTACCCACACATCAGATTATATGCCAATCATTACACACACATCCGATTATATGCCAATGATGACTCACACATCCGTTTATATGGCAATGATTACTCACATCTGATAATTATCTGACCGCAACACATTACACGACAATTATCTGCCAAAAATTATCCACATTTTTGATTATCGACCAATCATCCACACATCCAATTATATCGACACATTCGAATATCCGCCAAACAGCATCAACATCCAATTACCCACATATCAAATTATCCGCCAATAATTATCCACATCTAATTTTCCACAAATACAAATACCCGCATATTAACATCAATGAATCATTTTTTCCACACTTCCAATTCCTTACCGGTGATGATCCACACCTAGAGCACGTCTTATAATCCGTTATATCGCGGATTATCGGAGTTGCCCGATAGCCCCCCCCCCCCCCCTTATGCCGCCCACCCTCCTCAACCCCCCCCCCCCGCCCCTCTTCCCCCCGCCCCCCTCCCCTCGCCCCCTTCCCCTCGCCCCCTCCCCTCCGCCCCTCGCCCCCCCCGCCCCTCGCCCCCCCCCCCCGCCCCTCGCACCCCCCCCCGCCCCTCGCACCCCCCCCGCCCCTCGCACCCCCCGCCCCCCGCACCCCTCCCCCCCCGCACCCCTCCCCCCCGCACCCCTCCCCTCGCCCTTCCCCCCGCCCCTCGCCCCCCTCGCCCCCCCGCCCCTCGCCCCCCCGCCCCCCCTCGCCCCCCCGCCCCCCTCGCCCCCCCGCCCCCCTCGCCCCCCCCGCCCCCCTCGCCCCCCACCCCTCGCCCCCCTCCCCCCCGCCCCTCTTACATCCGACTCCACTTCGATGTCGTCATTGTCGCTCATCGTAGGCGCGGCGCGTGTGGGAGGCCGTGGCTGCTGGAGCTGCTCGAACGCGAGCGGCAGCAGTAGTAGCGGTGGTACTTCTTCTTGTTGTTTACTCTCAACGCTGTTGTTGTTGTTGTTTACTCTCAACGCTGCTGCTGTTGTTGTTTACTCTCAACGCTGCTGTTGTGGTTGTTGTTGTTGATCGCCGCGATCCGGGACTGAACCGCGACCCTCCCGGCTTCGCGTCTCGTCGACGCGGACCTCGGCGAGCTCCCGGAAGCGCGCGGTGATTGGCCGAGGGGGTCCGGCCACGTGACGTCGCCGACACGCGTGTTCCGCGTGGGACCCCAGTGTTGTCAACGAGCAGTGCGCGATATATCGCGATAAATGATGCGATATATCGCGATAATCAAAGACGATATATCGCGATAAATGATACGATTTATCGCGATAATCAAAGACGATATATCGCGATAAATGATACGATTTATCGCGATAATCAAAGACGATATATCGCGATAATTAACACTATATCGCGACAATTACCGATATATCGCTACAATTACCACTATACAGTATATCGCGACTATTAACGGGATATATCGCGACAATTACCACTATATATCGCGATAATTAACAGGATATATCGCGATAATTAACACGATATCGCTCGAAAATTCCCACGATGTATAACTATCGCCACGAACATAAACGATATGTCGTCGCGATATATTTCGATGTCACCACAATATGTTCACGTACATAACGCTAAACCGGTAGAGCGATACTGGCACGATATATCGCGATATCACCACGATATTTAATTTGAGTTTACAATTCCAGTAGCGATATCGCTTTGTAAGAACATTGCGATGAATGTGGAGTAGCAATCGCCCTCTAGCGACTGCAGGCAATGCCTTCCAAACGCATCCAAAGATATATTTTTTAAAAATCCGTCGTACTTTTCACTGGCGATTTTTTTTAATTGTTCCATTTTCACTTGCTGAGCACAAAAAAACATCAAAGCGGCCAGTAAGAAACAGTACCATCGAAGTTGTTGTAATCGATACGAGTTGTCAACACGTTCATTGACGATGTGTGACGAAGGGGGGGGGGGAGTTTGAGAAATGTGACGTCATATCAAAATGCTCAACTTTAAATAAATATGGACAACACGTTCTACCTCATTAAATAGACTTTTTAATCAATGTTTTCTCCTACAACATCAGAGTGCAGCGACACATTAAATACGCACTACAATGACAATAGTTTAAAGCGATTTGAAGCATAAAATTTTGATTTAAAGCTTTCGTGACTGCAGTAATTCATATTCTTAGTTTTTTCGGTAAAGTCACGTTGAAGAGAAACAACAAAATAATAATAATTTGCAAATTTATGCAAACCAACACATCTGAAGATGACCGTTTGAGTTATGGTCGAAACGTCGTGAGAATTTTTTATTGTTTTATATATATTTTATTATTTTGTTGTTTCTCTTCAACGTGACTTTACCGAAAAAACTAAGAATACGATTTGAAGCATGTTTGATTTGGGGGGGGGGGGGGCAGAGCTTTGTGACGTCATTTGAGGGGGGGGTCTGACTTTTTGTGACGCTGTGTGACGAGGGGGAGGGGGGGGTCAAAAATCGTCCAAGATTGCGTGACGTCATTTATGGACGGCCCACTCTGTTGTCAGCCAGGTGGGGTGGTGTGACATTGTGGGTCTGCTTGCACGTGCACATGCAGAGGGATCTAACAAATCATTGATTTAAATTTACTCTTACGCTCCTCCTACATGCGTCATATCGTCTCTGTAAGGGCAGCCGCTGCTGTGTTCATGTTTCCGATCCATCATAGCTGGCACTAACTTTCCTCTTCAAGGCATCATGGCATGCTCCATTTCTCGCCTTCCTATGCATATGCGAGTGGTGTTCATCGCATGCATGTATGTTGAATTTCTTTCGCACCGCACGTGGCCAACAGCGCATGCCAGGCACCCCGATATGTTATACTGTGATTCGCAATTTAGCTAAATTAAGTGCAAAACCTAATTTATCGTCACTGTGTGTGTGTGTGTGAAGTCATTGGTGACCGGGCTGAGACCATCAACTCATTCCGCTTGCGGGGCTGGCTTAACCACAGGTCAAAGGGATGTCCCAACTAAAGTGAACATTAAGGCGGTGATCATCTCCTGTTTACAGGCCTGAGCCAGTTGTGGAAGTTCCACATTCCTATGGCGGGGGCAACTCAATTCATAGGACAGTTGCTTTCATCAAAAGTTTCAGCGCTCTTGACATCTGAGCCAACATTTTATACTGTTGTTTCTAAATGTCAGTCAAGAAGATTCAAACCCTCGTTGCTATGAGATTGGAATAAGCGGCCTGGAATGCATTTCCTCGTGCCTGAAATCAAACTCCCGTGAGACACAAGCCTGTCCTGGGGGCAGGTTGTGCTTTCAAATTCAATGCTGCAAGCGCCTAAAAATAGCTAAGCCATAAAGGTTTAAGTAGCAAAAACAACAACAATAATAACAAAATTAAGTTGTCTTCTCTGTGCACAGAACGAGAAATTGGGCCATTGGCCTTCGCTGAATTTTATCTGGACATTCCACATTACAATGGCTGGTGCCAGTGCATCCACGAACATTTCCAGCTAAGAAAAAAAATTCGCCCTAAAGGGAACTTGGCTGGAGTGATAACAGTACTTCATGTGCGTTTTAACATAAAGTTGCAGAATAGCAAGGACTTTCCCACGTCCCAGCTGGCGAGACAAGCCTCCGCTCGATAAGGGTATTTTGGCCTGCTCTTCCACGTCGGCCAGATGCGATGGAAGTCGTGGGGGTCACCGCACCCCACCGCACTTGACCCCCACCACACGCCAGTAACGATTGACCTGTTGGCCCCCCTTTTTACACTGCTGGGCCCATAGCGACAGGGGAGGTTTGGGTCAAGAAACTCGTTTCAACTGCGAGATGGAATAGAACCGACGAACTCTTTGCGTGCCAGGTGGATTAGTAACAACGCTGAGAGACGGCGAGGCCTTCATCCAGCAGCGGATTTGACCACAGCCGAGGAGGAATAGCGAAACCAGTGCCGAACGAATTCGTTTCCTTAATGACGACGATCGTTTGTGTTGTGATCGAAACGTCGTCGTCGTTTTTTTTGTTACTTTCTTTGAACCATACCCGTGACTTTACCGCGAGACTCAAAGAATATTTAAATTACATCATTGTTTTTTTTAAGAAATATGCCCGCATTTAATCCAGCCGAGGCGGGGGGGCGCTGCGGCGGGTGACTACATTTCCCGCGCGGAGGAATACCGCAACTCACGACGGAGGGTGGTGAATCACCCCACTCCCCCAACCCCCTTCTCTCCGATTTCCCAGTTCGGATAGCGACGCGACGCACGAGCCGCGCCCGCCCGCGATTCGCTGCCGCCCAATCACGCGGTCGCGGCCCCGCAGCCAACCGCGCGCGGCGGCGGTGTCGCGAGGCGCGCTTATCCGCGCTGCGAAATGCAAACGCGCGCCGCGGCCTGTGCACATCCGCGTCGCGGCAGAGTTGAGAGGGAGGGAGGGGGCGGGATTTCTTTTTCGTTGCTTGGGGGTTTGCCGCGACCTCGGTGTTTACTTTTTGTCGTATTAATCTCTTAATTATTTGGAGTACATTTTTTCGTGTTTTTTTTTTTAAACATCTGTCGGAGGTTAATGTTCATGAGGTATCGGTAGCGGCGTCGTGAACTTGAATTGTTTTCCCACCACCACCGCCGCCGCCGCCGCCTTACACGCGCGCACATGGATAAGTTCGCGATTCGGATGGCGGGGCCCGGTGGTGAGTGCGCATGGCTTGTTGTTTACGTGCCGTAAGACGTCGATTGTTTTAAGTTACATATCTTTTTTTAAATCGCCGTGTTTTGTTTAAATAGCCGCCGCGCGGATCATCGTGGGGACTTACAGCAGTGGTCGGTGACGTTGAGTAGCCCAAACGTTTGATGCAAAAGCCAGGCGCGGTTTGATCGCTAATGGTGGTTACTGGCAACCGCCACGGTAATGTGGAATTTCAACCATTGGTTTACTGTAACTTATACACGTAGTGTCAGACGTGTATAAGTTGCATTATACACAGCGCAGTGTATTTGACCGAATGACCTATACAACAATTATACAGTAAGGAAAGCTTGCTGGTTAGACCTGAAACTGGCCAGAGAAATGTTGCATGTCCACAAATGTAGTGTGAGACCTGTTGGATGTCTTTTTGTTGTGTCACGCTATAAAGTAAATGCCACAGTGGAAAGTTAATAGTGGGTCATCACCTGGCGAGCCCGCAATCTTCCATAGGAACGTACAAATTTAAACGAGCGCATAGCATATTTGGGATTGAAAGTTTCAGAAAGTGCAAGCCCTTTTACGAAGCTACGATGTTCCCACTTTGTGGAAAACCAGCTGTGTGTTTCAGGCACGGGGCCCCTAGGGACGTGGAATTTCCACCACTGTGCTGTTTGGCTAACCAGAGCTCGTTTCTCGAGATGCAATTATCAGTTGCATTGTGTGTGTGTTAGTTATACAACTTTTAATTGTCAATATTTGCCTGGCGCCATTGCCTCTGGTCATAAAAATCGGGAATTACCCACGATGTTGTCAGGGCCACCGATGATGTAAATCAGGGAGACGTGTGCCGACTTTTACTTGGTTAAGTTATTTCCTTCATGCAGCCTGTTACGAATAGGACATGTGTACAATAACGTTTCACACGAAACCCGATAGTAATATGGACTGTGTAATGTATTTAGCGCGTATGACCAAAACCGCCCATAATTCTCCATGCATAACAGGCGTTGTAGGCTCTGTCTATGTGGTTACAGCAGCCCGTCCAAATCAATTGCTGTCATGCACTTACATATGCTGTGCCCCACCCGTCACCATCCCGCCCTGACCAGCATGGTGAAGTATGGTAAAAATGACCCCGCCACACGGCTTGGCTTGGGCAGACCCCTCTTTCACCGGTGGCTTTACAAATGGCTGCAGATGTACAATTGTGGTACACAGACCTGGCCAAACATTCTTGGCACAAAGACATTCACAGAGACGTTTGGTTCACGCAGGACCTCGGTGGACTTA